GACCCCCTGATGTATAGGTCAGTTTAACCCCTCTTGTATGGGTCAGTTTACAGTTAACCCCCGAATTACGGGTCAGTTTCGTCCCCTGTGTACGGGCCATTTTAACCCACTGTGTGCGGGCCAGTTTGACCCCTCCCCCCGTGTATGGGTCAGTTTAACTCACCGGTGTAAGGGTAAAAACGGACTTACTGTGTAGCGCTGGGAGAACTGGGGTAAATTACCTCAAAAGTGGTAAAAATTGAAATATTAGGAGTAACGAGGACTTGAATAAAATTAAATTAAAAACTTTTTTTTTTATGTGCGTGTTCTTTTCTTTTTTCTTTTTTTTTTGTTTGTTGTTGTTTGCACTGGTCTACACCTTTGCCACTGCATCCGTAATGTGTTGTCATAAACCAGTCATAAATTCCGGATCATAGAGTTCTGGGACAAGTTTACATGCCCTTAGGCCACATGAAGTAATTAACAAAAGATTGGCGTAGAGAGTATGCAGAAAACTTTTGTTAAATGGGGGTCATTGAGTACTTGATCTTCATGTATGACAAGGGGGGGACACACACAAAAACAACTCAACATCATTCTTCTAGGGCACACAAGGGTTCACAGTCTATGAAATTGCACATTAATAAAGACTCGGCGAGTTTTGAAATGGTCGCGAAATCACTTAAAATAATTTTACTTTTTAATTCTTGGAAAAAAGAGTTTTTCGTAACTGGCTCCCGCCAAAAAAATTAATTGAAATTAAAATAAATAAATAAATACATGTTACTTCGTGCTGATCTATTTTAAAAGCACAAAATTGTAGGAAAAATATTTTATTGCATCTTTAGCTTGTTAATCAAGTTAATACGTTTTTACACTAAAATTTTATAATGCAGAATCAATGAAAAGGTTGTTAAAGGTGTTGCATTATCGTGACCATTGGTCATAGTAGCTGATTTATCATTTTCATCTTGCGGAACTGATATACCAGACAAGTCAACATCATCCTCATCTAAACATTCAGCACTTAAAATACAAGTAATACAAGTATTGGCAGATTGAGGAATAATTATTGCCATAAGGTTTTTCTGTCTTCTGGCAGCTTCTAGCATTAGTCGAATCCTTTTTTGTTGAGGAGCAGGTTGTAATTTCTTATGCATTGTCGGTGCTGTTGAACATGCTATTTCAACATGACTTGTGATGCAAGATAGATGTAAAAAAATTTGAAAATACGTGCACGCAGCGATGTTATTATTGTTGCTCACTTTACATTCACCTTTTTATCAAAATATCGTATGCCTTCTCTATTAATATCATTTATATTGAATGCAAATGAGACTCAAACCTTGTCCTTGTTTCATACCTGCTAAACGATCGCAAACATACCACCCTAGTCATTTGCGACAAACAGAATCTACAGGCAAAGAGAGGCCAACTTTTGACTTCTCTTGCACTAACAAAGTGAGCTAACATTCTGACCAGCCATCAGCATTCTCAAGAGTTTTGGGTCAGCTCCCCTTGCAAGTTTTTTAATCAGGCTAAGTTTGAACGTGGCTCTAGCACCGATTTCTCGTATATGGTTATGTAGTAGGAGTTACTGGTCCAACGTTATTGCCAAAACGTTGGGGACTTATCCCATTTGAGCGCCTACCCGCTGATGTGGAGGTTGACATTCTCCTGGAGCGCATTCCTTCCATTGGTAAATAATAAATACACATTTTTTTTCAGCATTCACCCCCGATCTCCATTTCCGAGCGTAATCTTGTGTCTTAGTGAGATCACTTTGCAGTCGGCTCTGCAATTGCTGGATGGATTTACCGGAGCTCCAGATGACCAAATCTTCCGTGAACATTGTGTTCTTTGTTGCAAAGAGTAACTGCAGGTCGTACACGTACGCCATGAAAAGGGTGCAGCTCAAGTCCGACCCCTGTGGGGGTCCATCCTCGAGTGCACACATGTTCGAAACCTTGTCCCCTACACGGGTGGATATCGTGCGATTTGATAAAAAAGAATTATCCACCTGTGCATGATGGATGTTACTCCGAGCAATTGTAACTTGTGCAGTAGACTCGCCCTCCAGACTTTGTTGTAAGCATTCTGGAGGTCAAAGAAAATCGCGACAGTATGATTTCTCATCTGAAGCTCATTGGTGTTGCTTTGGATAAACTGGATTGCCAGGTCCATAGGCTGCCTCCCCTTGCGGAAGCCGCCATGGTTGGTTGGAAAGCTCTTGGTTCGTTCTAAGAACAAATATAGTCTTGAGTTAGCCATTCGCTCCGCTACTTTCCCAACACGACCTGAGGGAAATAGACCGGTAGCTAGACAGTTGGTCACTTGGTTTACTCTCTTTGGGAATTGGGATAATCACCGCTCTTTGGCACGCCCGTCGTCCAGGTTGCTTATAAAGTTTAATAAAGAACATTTTGCGGCCTTTCCCAAATGCTTAAGCATCTCGTTACACATTCTATCGGGACCTGGAGCTTTTCCTGTTTTACACATAACTAGTACTGTTTGCAACTCGGCCATAGTAAAAGGTGCGTGAAAACCTCTTGGTGTGGTCCTACTCGTTGGGCTCTGTTTCCAACCTTTCGGCGTTTATTGATGGTCCGGCTTTCGTCAAAGTGTTTATTGAGCTCGTTGGTGGGCTTGGCACAGCTAGCCTCTGTGCCAGCCAGTGTTCCGTTGCTGGGCTTGGTACAGCTAGCCTCTGTGCCAGCCAGTGTTCTGCGATTCTAAGGGGATGGATATTCCACTGCTTCCCCATACCAGAGAGGTTATCTAGTGGTCGCCAGTAGCTTGTTTCTATGTGTGAGGATTCGGCTGGATAGTTCGTTGAAGTATAACATTGATTAGTTACGAGTTGTATTGAGGAAGTACATTGATCAGTTACGAGTTGTATTGAGGAAGTACATTGATTAGTTAGGAGTTGTATTGAGGAAGTACATTGATTAGTTACGAGTTATATTGAGGAAGTACATAGATTAGTTACGAGTTGTATTGAGGAAGTACATTGATTAGTTACGAGTTGTATTGAGGAAGTACATTGATTAGTTACGAGTTGTATTGAGGAAGTACATTGATTAGTTACGAGTTGTATTGAGGAAGTACATTGATCAGTTACGAGTTGTGTTGAGGAAATACATTGATTAGTCACGAGTTGTGTTGAGGAAGTACATTGATTAGTCACGAGTTGTATTGAGGAAGTACATTGATTAGTTACGAGTTGTGTTGAGGAAGTACATTGATTAGTCACGAGTTGTATTGAGGAAGTACATTGATTAGTTACGAGTTGTATTGAGGAAGTACATTGATTAGTCACGAGTTGTATTGAGGAAGTATATTGATTAGTTACGAGTTGTATTGAGGAAGTACACTGATTCGTCAGGTTTTGACGAGGCACAATAAAATTATATCATTGAACTCATATCAATATATTCAGTGTTTACTTTGTTGTCGGTTACACTGGTCTGTATGATGAAATAAGAGACTAGGATGTTCCACAAGTGAACATATGGCTTTGAAGGGTGGATGAGCACTGGACCCTAAGAGCTACATTTTCACATTGCCTGTAAGTCGTTTTTGCTGCTCTACAATCCAGCATTCATGTGTCTTGTCGAGGGGAGTCTGCCTTTTTTATTGTTGCGACTATGGGCGGGTCTTTGCACAATTGAAAGAGCTCTTGGTTTGTCCGGATTCTACACATAAAATTGTGAATATATTTTCTTTATAATTTTCCTCTACCATGAATTGAGCAGAGTATCTGCTTTTCTGTGACCAATTTAAATTTAGGCACCAAGTCCACTTAAGTATGTTTCTACTGGTCTTATGATAGTGTGTATCTTGCCTTTTTTTTCCCTTAGAAATATTTGTGCTTCCTAGTAGTAGTTCCTTATGTAGGCTGAAATAGGAACAGTTGCCTGGTGTTATCCTTTCTTTCACCTCCAACATTATTTAATTGTAAGTATTTATAGTTACCCTTAAATATTTGAAAATAGCTATTCTCTCAAATGTGTAGTTGTTAGTATTGAATTTATTTTAAGCGTGGATGTTTCGTGACGTTATCACATATTTTGTCTACGCTATTTCCTCAAGACCAGCTTTGACAGAGACATCTTCAAGTTCCCCGAATGATTTAATTATGTCATTGCAGTCTCTACCAAAAAGCGCTATATCTGCAAGGTACTGCAGTGGCTGGCTTTATAAAGATCCTGATGGTTTTTGTTCTGTACTACCTCTCTGGTTCCACTGGTGCTCATATGCATTTTATGATGACTTCTTCTAACGTGATGTTGAAATGGATACATCAATCTCCTTTTGCCTGTGTGATTGCAAAACCGTTTTTTTTCATTTCTTGCTAATCCAACAGCCTATAAGCAATGAATTTTAGAGGGTGTTAAACTTAAGAACTGAAACATATCCTGAAGATATTCATCTTTAACTTAAAGATGAAGTTTTACAATTTCCTTTGAATTTTAAACAAAAAACACGGGCCCACAGAAGAACTTATTCTGTCTTATGAAGACCTTTATCAAAGTATAAATTATACAAAGGGTGGGTGCAGAAGCCTTTCCTTAAAAGTGAGGAGGCAATCTTGCAACATTTAATTTCTCAGGATAGTTAAATGCTCAGCAAATAGTTCCTTTTTCATAACTAACAGGAATTAAAAATAAATCTGCTCTTACTCCAACAATAATGTATAATTCTACTATTTAAATAGCAAAAAGCTTGTGAAAGTTACGTAAATGCCCCAATTTGCAATGTTTGCTATAATTTATTTGTCTAAGATATATCTAATTTTAAGAATTGACTATTTGCTGCAGATCTGATATCTATGCTATTTACAGATGGAAATATTGCCTAGTGTTACAATATTAGAGCTGGTGGCTGTTCAAAATATGTTTCCTTTTCTTTTTTACTAAGCTAAACACACTTTGCTTAAAATTAGATTCAGATAAACATAATAGGGCCTACCTCTTCATTACAAAAAACAAACAAAGAAAAAAAAAAGCAACAGTTCCAAATAACGAATCAAAAGATCAGTTTGTTTAATTAAAGAATCTTTTTTTTTTCAAAGTCTCCAAATAGAATGACATTGTTTAATTAGAATTGTTTGATTCCTGGAGCAATAAATATATCATTGCAGAAGCCATGGGCAACACCCAACGCATACATCACAGATGTTTGAATCTCGTAGTGCTTTTGGTAGGTAGAAGACAGTGCTCTGGTCATCTATTTTAAAAGAATAGTAGACATATAATTATGCTGCAGAAAATAGTTTAAATCATTCCATCACTAAATATAAGCTTTTGACTTAACTTAAAATTCCTTTAACAGTTTCCTAGATTAATAATTTGGATCAAAAATTGATGTAGAAGAAAATTTAAGTGATCAAAAGTAATTCTTTAAATATTAACATCTAACATTTATAACTATTTCTTTGCTACAAATGTGAATTGAGCAAAATGAAATGACTTAATAGATTATCTCAGCAATTTCAATATAGCTCAAAGTTTCGCTTCCTGTTCTAAACATTGAGCTACATTGACATTATTGAGATTTTCAAAAACATAAGTTTTATTTCTATTTTAACTTAAAGTATATTGTTTCTTGTTTTGTATTGTCTTTTGAAAAAGGCATCTAGCCAAAAACCTTCTATATTATAAATCCTGTCTTTCTTCTCAAGACTAAGAACATATTGATTCATTTAATAAAGTAGTTTGTAAATACAAACAGCAAAATGTCTACTTGAGATTAACAGGCTGTTATTTACTGATTGAAATAACACTGAACAACTGTGATGCAAACAGACTAGCAAAGTTTTGTATTGTAATCTAATGAAAGTTATCATATTTGAAAAAAAACTCTGATATGTAGGCTATAATGACCCAATGTTAAGATTTACCTGGGGAATAGTATGAAAATGTTTTGACATAAGAGCTTTGTGACTTGGCCACTTTGGATTCACGAACCATTCTCAAACTGTAGCATAATGATGAACTGCCAATCTATTTGTTTTAACAAATGAAAGAGACATTTTAAATTATTTTTTTTCATTGGACTGATTTCTAGAGGAAATCATTTGTGAAATAGATTTTGACCCTAATTTTAAATTTATAATGTGAATTTACTTCTTTTATTTTTAAATTTAAGCCACACAAAAAATTATTCTTTTTTTAAAAAAATGTGTTTTTTTTTAAATTATGTAAAGGTTGTGTTTTTTTTTTTTGTTGCTTATATTACTTACAAACAAAATATATTATGGGTGATATAATCTTCACAAAACATAAGCATCAATGGTAAAAAATTATATGGAAAAAAACCATATAAAAACAAACCTTATCAAAATATATGGCTACAACTCCTCCCTTCCTCTCAGACCTCTTCAAACCAGCCACATTACCAAGTGTAGAGAGATCTGGTTGGAATCCAGAGGGAATGCTGATCTCCTGTACAACCATACCTGTTTCTTTTTTCAACAACCATCTGAGAGTGACAAATAATTCTATTTTAACCTCAAAATAAAGATGAGCTCTAAAAGATATTGTAGAGAGTTCAGTCTCAGTCCAGGTGTTTGGCGCGTAGCAGATAAATTAAGACGTGGAATACAATGGATGTCAACGGTGCGGGGTAAACCCAAAGTCGAAGACTGACCAAATAAATTAAGGCGAGGAATGCAGCGGGCAGGGATGAGGGGCAAAATCCACGGCAGAGTTCAGTCCAGGTGTTTGGCGTGTAGCAGATAAATCAAGACTTAAGAAGGTAGGGGGAGTAATCTCTAGAGACGCCTCGGTTGGCTGGTGGACCTATAAGAGGGGACGGTTAGATTGTAAGGAAAGAGCGCGGCCAGACAGAGAGCAGACAGTGAGAGAGATCTCCGACGGTAGAGGAAGAGGGCAGTCAGAGTTGCGAGATGAGAGAAAGTATAAGCGAATCGTCAGCCTAATAAAGAACACGATTTTAATCATCAAATTTTAATGTTATCGCCTGAGTTGTTTCCTTAGTGATGCCAGATATAGATGAAGGTTAGCAGAGAGCAAGCAAGGTTTCCTTACAATATTAACCAAAAATGAGTATTTCTTTTTAATAAATAAAGGTCTTACAATTTAAATTATACTTACGGTGTAACATTCATGTTATGATAATAAAACTTTATTCAAATAGTAAAGATTGTTAAAGAATTTCTTGGTGACAATAGTAACTTACTGGTGTCTGATAAATAGTAGGAAACAATGTCATTCATAAAATTAGAAGATCCAGCATGCTACTATATAGGACAAAAACATTTGGGCAATACTAAAAAAAATTAAATAGAAAAAGTGAATACTCTATATGTATAGGTCACACTTTTTTATTTCAAATTTTTTTTATAAAAATTACGGTTGTAACATATTAACTCAACTTTGATTTTCCATGCAGTTATCATTGAATGTGTAGTCATTTATATTAAAATTTGTATAAATGTTTCCTCTCTTGCCTACGCCATAAAAGAGCAGAGGGCAATATGTTCTTTGGGAGTTTTTGTTAAACATCATGTATTTTAGCACAATTACTTTTCAGTTTTCAAGTTGTTATTGAAAAATTTGTGTGATGTCTGTTAAACAAATTAAGCATTATTTATATTTAGGTTTAAAAAAGTGCCTTGTAACTCCCAAAATGAAAGGTGCAACCTATCTGTGAATCAGTAGCAAATACCCGCTTTGGCAACCTGACACTAACGCTGTGACCTATCCACTGGTATGCACTATATTGGAGAATATATTGTAGCTAAAATTTGTGAGATGGGGGGGGGACGGGACATTTTTTAGTTTGCTTACTTTGTACAAATCATCAAATTGAAAGAATTAATGCCATCATCCAACAGAACTGTGCTTACATCGAAGGAAGGTGTGGTAACTTCAGATGCTACATTGAAACTGTAATCAACCTGCGACAATAACCTTAAACAATAAACAACTTTTAAAGAACTCTGTTTTTTTATTGTTTTTTTTTAAAAACTTTTAGCAAAGATGAAAGTTTTTATATTGAAGGTCTATTAGGTACATTCACTAACGAAAAAACTTTTTATTGTTGGAGAGAAAATAGTATATTAAATTGGGTACATTGAATATGTACTTAGTCTGATCACTGCAACATAAATAATATTTAAATTTAAAAACGAATTGTTGTAAAATTGATGAAAATAAATGCACATCATTAAATTAAAACATCAATTTTCTGAAGTTTTCAATCAACTCCTGTCATATAAGCAGACAACTCCTGATGGCTTTGCGATTCATAGGTTGAGAACCACTGTGCTACATCATGTTATAAAGTTTGAATAGTGTTTTTTTTTAGCTAATTCACAACACAATCTAAGTTTATTAAATTATGGAGACTTACATCAACAAGAGCAAATCCAGTTCCTGACGCACTGATTGATAGCTCTTGTGGGGCACCAGAGAGCTGTTATAAGCAAGAAAAACATAAAGGCAGTGTCTACACGTCCGGCGCGCCGGACGTCTATCTCCCGCACTATGTGTCCGGCGACCAAGTCACATGACCGCCGTAACAAAGTGGCGAGAGATATCGTGTCGGTCAGCCTTGTCACGTGACTGCGAATAATTCAAAACTATTGTTAATTTTAAAATCTATTTCTCTACCAAGTAATGTACTGAGTATCTTGAATGCAAATAATAGAAAAAGAAACTTAAGTGAAAGTGGCTTGTAAACATTTTTGTTTAGTTTGTTATTTTTTGTGTACCAGTAATCCATAAAATAAATTAGGGGCCAGTGTGGCAACCAATAAAAGTTAAAGATTTCATTTTAAATTATTTCAATTGCTACAAAATATTTAAAAACTTCTCATGAAACTACTGTTGCTGAGGAACATGATAATATAAATATATACAAAATATTTTAATTAAAATGGGAAGAAAAAAAACGACCCTATCCCCGGTATAGATCCTCAAACCTTCCTTTCGTCAAGCAACCACTCTACCACAAGACCAGACAAGATGTACTAAAGCGTACTTCGTTTGGAATTATAAAAACTACTAGCCGTCCGGCCATGTCCGGCGGTCACGTGACAAGTCGCCGGACGTGTATCTTGCGCACTACACGTCCGGCGCGCCGGACGTGTAGACACTTCGAAACATAAATGATAATAATTGTCGACAAGCCTGGCATTTTTATTAAAATTAATAAATAAATGTAGATATGGCATTGGTAGATACATAAGACATCACAGCTTATGATAAAAAATTGATAAGTTTAACAGAGTATTGGAAGCTGAATATGAAATCACAGCTTATGATCAACATTGACAGCTTTAACAATTATTAACAGCTATTTCTAAGATATTAAGTCATAAAACAAAACCCATGAAAATCAGACAAAGTATGTTAGTTAGTTTTCCATATAAATAAGAGAATGCAGCTATCCAAATAATATAATTTATCCAATCTAATATTCTAAAAATAATTTAATAATGGTATGTGTTTAAAACAATACACAAAAGTTTATTTTACAGTTATTAGGTCAAGATGCAGCTGATAATTTAATACTCAGATAACTTAAACATGTTAGTGTTTCAAAAAGAATATTTGGTACAAGTGAAGAGAAGTAAAAAATGCTAAAAATTCTCTTTCTTTGTATCTTTTTATTTGCATTTTTAAATTATATTTTTATTCAGGGTAAAACATAATGATTGCCATACATTATATCGATGGGTTTTTTTTTCAAATAAATTTTACTAATTTATAATACATACACTTTCTTATAAGGGGAAAACGTTTATTGTTATTAAATAAATACCTCTTTTGTTTGCAAAGACAAAGCATTTTCTCTTGTTACAGAAAAGGTAGCCAAGGGGGTCGGAGCAGTTACAACAATGTTAAGATCAGTTTCAGGTCGCAATGACTTGGCAGCAAAGGCTGAGAGAGCTTGAAGTCCTACAACTGTGTCCTATTTAGGTGCGAATACCAAAAAAAAAACCTGTGACAATGATATCAACCTGACATTTTTAGATAAATAAAAATATTGATTGCTTATAGGCGTGTGTGTTTTTTTAAAATAATTTCATAATGCACTGTCTTAGGGATATAAAAAATTCCTTCATTAAGTTTTATATACACAAGGCTCACCTGAGAAGATGAGAAACCACCTTGAGCATTTCTCTGTGTGGTCAGCCACCTGACAGCTGGAAGGGCCTCGTCAATACGACCCAATTCAGTATATGTTAAAATAGCATATGATGTAATCAAAATGTCAATGGGTCTAGCCTGGATTCGGGGTGGACGCCATTTAAAGTAGTGGGATTGCATAGGTTCAACAGTTGTGCTGTTTGCCTCCCAGTGTAAAAGACCACCTATGGATAAAAGGGCAGTTTAATCATTACATATATATTGATATAAAAGTTTCTTTTAGATAATAAATAGCATTAAAAACTGCAGTTCAGTTTAATAATGATAAAAGCATACAAAGTAAAATTAATATAGCCTACAAAAGCCTATGAAAGATATTAATTTTACTTATATTCCATTTCATAATAATTCCGATGAAGGTTTGGTACTTAAATACTTATGTGATCTTGTAATTATAGAAATGTAAGTGCATTTAATTTCATTTACCTAACATATATTTACTTTATTTTTTTTTTATAGTTCATTACACATTCTTTGATATAAACTTATTATTGAAAGAAATCATAGTTTTAATTTTATGGACTAGGCTTAAACCTTCAACAATATTCTTCCTACCTCCACTTTGGGAAAATGTAAGAAGTTTCTCTAAAGCCGTGTTGGATGCAGGACTTTTTGCCTTGCTTAGTGCATAGCTGACTAAGGCCAGAGGAAACTGATCCCCAATAGCATTACTGGCCACCAAATTTTCCAGATTAGTCCTTGCTTTTTCAGTGGCATTTCCCCAACGTTCAAAGTAGTAGCATCTGAAACCTCCCTCCTTCATACATGCCTTGTAATGCAATGAAACATGTTTTCAATAACAAGAGAATTAGAATAAAATATGGTCCATTTAAATGTTAGAGATATTGTAATATAATGTTATACTTGGTATTAATTTATTAATTTTTTTAAACTTTGCTAAAGCACTGCATAATAAACAAGGGTTTTGAAGCATCTTTAATTTTTTTAATGATCAAGAAATGTTAAAAACTTGAAATAGGACACAAAAAAGATAATCACCTCCTTCTCCACAAAGTTCTCAGCATCCAACAGACTCAACAAAACAAAGGCCGTCAAGGCAGGTCCTGTGCCTGTTCCCTGCAGGATAAAATGTGTATGCTGAGTAGAACTAATAATGGTTTATTTAAAAGACTACTTGAGGTAAAAAGAATGTTTTGTCCTCTTACTTAAAAAATAATTTAAAAATTAAAGGTGAATGATACTAAGAAACATATTTTAAATTATTAAGTGAAAAGCATTTGAAATGGCTGATATTCAATAAAGAATTTTATGTTACATCTAGCAAAGTTTCCAAGGTTGATGTATAGACTACCTGGGTATTTTTGTCCAAGACTTTGCCAAATTCATTGAAAGAACCCTCCAAATTTTGTCTATCAATGATCCACATAACAGATGTAGAAAGTATTAGGGGATCAACATAGATGAATTCACAGGCTTCAGAGAGTATTCTGAATGTCAAAGCTGTCAGCCTGAAATTATTTAATTGATATAGTACAATTTTTAGGCTAACATTTTTTACAAACACTAAATAAAAAGGAAAGAGATGCTTAACATTTAAAAGGCTTCAGAGAGTATTCTGAATGTCAAAGCTGTCAGCCTGAAATTATTTAATTGATATAGTACAATTTTTAGGCTAACATTTTTTACAAACACTAAATAAAAAGGAAAGAGATGCTTAACATTTAAAACAATTAAAATGTCAATGTTAAATAAAAATAAAAAATATACATAAATTGATGATGGAGGCCATTTTGTATTTACTTTATTTATAAGGAATTGAATTACAAGATCATGTCAATTACTCATAATCTTTACTGTAAATACATCAAAAGTTCTGGATTACCAAAATAAAACATGAAAATAATTGTCATATCATCCCTTAAACTGAGTTATCTCAGATCATAAGTTAGTTTTCTAAAATTGCTTGAAAACCATTTAGACCAAACATTTACTATTATATCACCCCAACATTTTTAACAGGGTCCATGAGATCAACTGCTATTATGACCATAATGCCCTCATTTGTGTATATAAAGTCCTATCCTATATTCTGTGAAATAGTATAAATTCCATTTGAAACCACTTACCAAGTGCTGCCAGTTTCATCATAGTTGCCAAAGGGGCTGAATCCACCATCGAATCTTCGGTAAGTGAGTTGTCTTTGGTAACCTGAAGGACTTTTTGCCTTGCTTAGTGCATAGCTGACTAAGGCCAGAGGAAACTGATCCCCAATAGCATTACTGGCCACCAAATTTTCCAGATTAGTCCTTGCTTTTTCAGTGGCATTTCCCCAACGTTCATAGTAGTTACATCTGAAACCTCCCTCCTTCAGACATGCCTTGTAATGCAATGAAACATGTTTTCAATAACAAGAGAATTAGAATAAAATATGGTCCATTTAAATGTTAGAGATATTGTAATATTATGTTATACTTGGTATTAATTAATTTTTTTAAACTTTGCTAAACAAGGGTTTTGAAGCATCTTTAATTTTTTTAATGATCAAGAAATGTTAAAAACTTGAAATAGGACACAAATAAGATAATCACCTCCTTCTCCACATAGTTCTCAGCATCCAACAGACTCAACAAAACAAAGGCCGTCAAGGCAGGTCCTGTGCCTGTTCCCTGCAGGATAAAATATGTATGCTGAGTAGAACTAATAATGGTTTATTTAAAAGACTACTTGTTGTAAAAAGAATGTTTTGTCCTCTTACTTAAATAATTTAAAAATTAAAGGTGTATGATACTAAGAAACATATTTTAAATTATTAAGTGAAAAGCATTTGAAATGGCTGATATTCAGTAAAGAATTTTATGTTACATCTAGCAAAGTTTCCAAGGTTGATATATAGACTACCTGTGTATTTTTGTCCAAGACTTTGCCAAATTCATTGAAAGAACCCTCCAAATTTTGTCTATCAATGATCCACATAACAGATGTAGAAAGTATTAGGGGATCAACATAGATGAATTCACTGGCTTCAGAGAGTATTCTGAATGTCAAAGCTGTCAGCCTGAAATTATTTAATTGATATAGTACAATTTTTAGGCTAACATTTTTTACAAACACTAAATAAAAAGGAAAGAGATGCTTAACATTTAAAAATATTCTGTGAAATAGTATAAATTCCATTTGAAACCACTTACCAAGTGCTGCCAGTTTCATCATAGTTGCCAAAGGGGCTGAATCCACCATCGAATCTTCGGTAAGTGAGTTGTCTTTGGTAACCTGATCAGCAGGTAGATGGGATAAATAAGAACCAAAAAGAGTTTTTCAAATTATGTTATTTGCTTGTTTAAACATAGATGATGTGAAGAGCAGGAATTTGTTTTAAAACAATGAATGAGTTTTTACCACCTCCTGTCATTAGGCTAAATAATTTATAAGAATATTTAAATTCTGATTTAAGCTTCAAAAAAGACCTTTCATAATTATACTAAGTCAAACAGCCTTTTTAAGAATAACAGTGAAAACCTTAAAGATATAAGCTTTTATTGTTTTGGTATTCTACTTTTTATGCACTATTTATAACGGATTTGATCTCACCTGCTTCTAATACATCAATGATGTTTCTTTTCATAGCATCTCTCAGTTGACCTGTGGCATTGAGGTACTGGGCAATGTAAAGGTCAGGGGCAAACTTAGCAAGGCTCTGCTCACCACAACCAGTTGGAAAAGTGATGAGTGATGTCAAGCTGCTCAAACTTGAACCAATTAGATCACCTGTTGTGGATATCATATGATGTTATGAGTTTAAACATTTTAAAACGGCTTTAATTACAAACTGGCAAGATTTAAAAAAATTTTTAATTAACTTTAAAAATATGTGATGAGCATCATATTTTACATAAGGTAAATAGGAGCCAGAATGATCAATGCATTGATAGTGGACCCTTAATATATATAGAGAAAAAGAAGAAGAAGGCATGCAATGTTAGAATAATTAAATTCATGTTTAAAACATCCACAAACTTTGGCTTTTCTTTTTAAATGCATCACAACATTAGAAAATTAGCTCAGTTTCTTTCCTTTAACACTTAAGTTGTAGAAGTAAGTTATTTCTATCAATTAAAGCAATGAAAGCAATCTGAGGAAATACTCAAGAAATGTGTGCTCTAATAAAATGTATTACATCTACTAACATTTATGCTTTTTAAAAATTTATATTTATATACTGCCTAATAGAATACAACAAATATTTACCAGTAGCTTTCACTCTGGTTCTTTCTGAGCCAACTACAACAGAGGGGGGAAGGGTGAATGTAACACTCTTTTCAAATTTCTGGGTAGAATTGCTGTCAATGTTGACAAACACAGGGGAGTTGTAGCTGACTGGGGCACCTTCAGGCTGTAGATTAATAGATTAATAAATAATTTTGAATGCAATAAACAGTAAACAAAATACATATTTTCAAATGAAAAAAATAATAAACAAGGTAAACAATATCTTTAGCAGGTAATTTACAATTTGTTCTACTATGTGGCATCCATATTTTTCAACTTCTCTATTTTTTACCTTTATTAAATATGATAAAGAGCAGGTGTGCTTACAGTTTGCAATTGTGATTCATTGAAAAATTAAAATTTCCAAAAACAAGAAGCTATGTCACTACTGTGCCCTACCTTCACAATTATCTGTCTGCTTAGGCCATCTGCCGCCGCCGTGGATTGAGCAGAAACTTCAATGTCTACAACACCTAATGCAGTTGATAACATTGGAAAATAGGCAACACCTTGCTCACCTGATTTTACCTGTGGGGAATTAATTTTTTTTTTCAGTTGAGGTTAAAACTCATTCACTAAATCAAATGACCTTTTCTTTTCTATGATCTTGTAATTTTCTTTTCTATGATCTTGTAATTTTCTTTTCTATGATCTTGTAATTTTCTTTTCTATGACCTTCTAATTTTCTTTTCTATGACCTTCTAATTTTCTTTTTATGACCTTGTAATTTTCTGTTTTATAACATTGTAATTTTTTTAAAAATTCCCTCTTTATTTACTCTGTGAAAGTTGCCTTAGTTCATTATTCCAATTTTCTGGTTCATAAAAATCTAGTAGTCAAACACTGGATGTATTGCCCTTAGGTAGGCCTATAAATATACAAAGTGCTCTAATGTATCCTTAGGTATTCTTAAATGTGAATGGTCTACATTTGTTTTGGCTGAGCAAGATGTTTTTGCTAATACTATGGCAGCCTGTTCCATCTGTCAACATGTGGCTACTGTTAATGGGGCCATCCTGTCATGCTGTCAGGTCAGGTCACTGTTTTTTTGCCTAGCTTGTTGAAAGTAAGAGAAAGTAGGGCAGTGTTCTCTCCTTAGGCCTATTTGTGTCACCAGGCTCTGGTGTTGGTGACTCAGTTTCCACCAGATTTCAAGGTATCATCAAGAGGGGATCTAGAATAAGAGAAAATGACCACATCGAATTCTACAAGTTCCCACTTCTGCAGTATCCTGTTACCTGATACCTCAATCCCCACATCAAAGTTTGATGCTGTGGTCCAACTGGGCTCTGAAATGTCCTTGTTTGGTGGCCCTCCAATACAGTGTAGGACAAGCGCACCATACAACATATTTCTTTATCACAGGTTGGCCGAGCCATCCATAAACACCTTCACTGGTGTTTTAGCAAACCCTTCAATTGTTCAATGACAGCTGCTTTCTGGACAAGTGCAGGGCTGCATTTTGCTACTGGTGAGTCATTCAGAGTCGTACATATATTGGAAAGTGCTCCTTATGGTGAGTTAAATGGGATAGAGGTAATTATTTTTCTGTTCTTTGGGATATTGACTGTCCTTTCAAATTGTAAACTTAATGGATTTTTACTCTTAATGATTGTGAACAGTATCTAAATTAGAGTGAATCACAGCTTAATTCATTTACTTATTTTAGAAACTGTATACATTCTCAACCTGAAGACAACAAAAGGTTAAGTTTTTGACTTAACTTACTGTAACAGCAGTTTCTTGGTTTCCAGAGACTAAAATTTCTGTACCATTTTCATAAATGATGATGCTCTTGAACTCTATTTGACCTTTCAATGTGACCTTCACCTGGAAAGTGGTAAACATTTTTTCATGTAATAGCGGCACATTACGTTTACAACAGTGTCACAATTGTACTATTTTGCATGACTACTCTTGTATTTTCTCGAATTTGGTTCTTTTCAACTAATAAATTATATTGAAGAGTAATTTAATTATTATTGATGTATTTATGTGAAGGCCTATACATTTAAATAAAATTCATTGTCACATGAACAGAAAGAAAAAAAAATATTCATCAATCTTATTTGGGGGCATTTATAAACACCCTCATGTGTCAAAGGGTTTGAGATGTCAAAAAGTTGTGATAAAAGTATCTAATTGTATTACTAGCTGTAATGATTTAAGTGGGAATATCTGGTAAAATAGTGTGACACACTGTGCTGTTTAGTCAAAAAATGTTTCACTCTGGTTCTTTAAACTTTGAAGCAATAGAAAAGTGAAATAAAAAATAAATAAAAAATTCAATTTTGTGTTTTTATTAATTTTGTAACACAGAGATATTGAAAAGAATTAAAGAGCTAAATGTCAGTGATATGGGTGATACAGTGTTATAAGTTCAATGTTTATGTTAATGTCAAGTGCAATTGTGTTTAAATCGCTTAGATCTAATAAATACAAATTTTAAAACCAGAATTCTTACCTCAAGATCTGATGGTAGGTAATTGAAAACTGTGGCTTGAACAACAAATTGCTCATGACGAGTAACAGAACGGGGATATGTAAGGCTTACAAAGAAAGGCCTGAAGACCTTGAGCTGAGAATTAGAAAATAACTTATTATGTGACTATGAAGATAGCACAAAAAGTAGCATAAAAAGTAACAATGGAAAGATAGAAATTAGGAATAAAATGCAGAACTAAAACAATTAAAAAATAAAAAAATTTTGAAATACTCAATGTAGAAATATGATGCATTATCTTAAAGTTCAATTTTTAAAAATATTTTAAATGTTTCTACTCTTGTACCATTTACTTTGAGGAATTATTAACACTAGTTGTGTCTACTATTGGAGAGACAAACATTATCAGAAAGTAGCATGGACATTTATAATACATAAGTAAGCACTCCACAGCCTAGAAAGTTCCTATGTCTTAGGGGTAATGACTAACAGTTATAAACCATTCAATTCTTCTCCAGTAACATGCCAAATAAATATATATTTTTAGCACTAGTTTGATGTCTTACAGTTATGACATGTGACTGGAGTTTTCTCTGCAACAGAGCCTGATGGGAATGATTAGCTGGGTTTTTTTTTTCATTTTAATAAAATTCTTTTTACTAGAATAAAGATTTATAACTGTATTAGTATAAATAGAAATGAGATTTTAAAAATTAACAAGAATTGATGTAGCTTTACTGATGATAAATTTCTATTCTTAGATTCTAATTCAAATTATGGTTTGACACATAGAAAGTAGTAACAAGGAAATGTAATTGTATCAGACACTGCAAATGAACGATTGGAAATTTCAATGTTTAAAAGCTTTGTTCCATTTTTTTTACCAACGATGTAAAAGGGGCAACACCAAGTCCTGATGTCAGACTGGTAGAAAAAGCACTGGCCACCCAGGATGTAATAGTATCTGGAGCAGTTGTCTTGAGAATAGCCTTGCCATCAGGGCTGTGGTGAAGATAATTCAAATTACAAAATAAACATATATTTAAAATATATAAAAATAATGTTAAATTAATTTTAATTTTCAAAAGCATTATAATGTTACTTATATAAGCATCTATTTGGTAGTTAAATTAAGTTACAATTTTGTTTTTAATAGGACATTTCATATTTAAATGAGGAAACTTTCAGTGTTCAGACACAACATGGGTCACGCCTAATATATTTTAAGATAATTAACTAATAAAATATTTTAAAACATAAGTAACAGACTTCTTATTAAGGGGATTTACTGTACAAGTAAATTTTTCTAAGGTCCAAATATTTTTTTTCTAAAATGAATATAATAGCTTTCTTGAAATAAATAAATCTAAACACAATCCATTGCAATTATTTAAACATGAAATTTAAAAAAGTCAGACATGCATTGCAAATATCATGCAAAGAACAACAAATATTCAATGTTTTTTGCCTAGGTACATGCATGCTAACCATGCAAAGAAATCAAATGATTGAAAATAATTTTGATGTGGATGAAGGGAGAGAAATCAGGAAACTACAGACTCTTAAATATTTATTTAATGAAAAATTATTCATATCGATCTGAGACTAGGATGACTTAGTTTATAATTCTATTCCTTTTTTTTAGACCAGTGCTTTCAAGGCTTATTGGTTGCATACCCTAATAAGGCTTTATTTTATTCAAATAAGTGGTGAATAGCTTAATACTGATATGTCTATTTCAGTGCCTTTATTATTTTGTGACACAATTTTTTACTAAGTGGTCCCCAATATATTATTTATAAATTGAAAGACAATGCTATTTCTAATTTAACAAATTCTATATTTAATAATGGCATTCAATTTCAAAATTAATTTGATATTTCACAACTTTTATCAGTCCACTCATCACACCATCCCACTCCAAAAATAATTTAAAATTTACATTTTACAAAATTATCAACCAACATTTGTTAAAGTTTCTTTTAAAAGTGAAAATACACATTTCAAATTGTTTAGTTGTTTCCCTCTAACTTTATAACTATAAAATGCATCCACCAATTAATATACAAGTATGACTGTAATACTAAGATAATGGACCAAAATCCCTTTACCCTAAGGAAGCAGTCACCCACAACCAAGCCTCTGGAAAGACTTTCCGGACTTGGCTGATTTCCATCAAGGGTGCTGATTGACTATCTAATTCAGAAAGGCCCATTTTCATAGACTGAGAATCCATGGCCATTTCATTGGGTGGTGACATTTGAAGTCCTTGTGCAGCAGGTGAATAATATGAAAGTGCATCTAATAAAAAAAATATAATAAATTAACTGTAAAGAGTAATTTAATTATTGTGAGAATAACCTTGATTGCCGTCAGAGGAATTTTCCTAATAGATTCTTTGAAGTTGTAGATGGAAAAAATTTATTAAGGGTTATTAATTTAAAGTCTGATTTTAATTGAAAAAAATGCTTCACATGTTGTGTAGCACATTTCACTAATTTGAAAAAGACATACATCCATTTACATGCAGGGCTTTGCAAACATTCTGGGCATGCCAAAAAAATATATGCTGTCCTCTAAAAATAATTTTTAACACCTCTTATCTGTATCTAATTGAACTTTTTTCCTTCTAATTTTCATTATAGTGGACATTAAAATACAGTAAATTGCATTACCTCAGATTATTATAGTCAGAAGTTAGAAAACAGAAAACTGTTGGTGTAGGTACCATGTGAGTTATCCAAAATTTTCTTATAGGGTATTATGATATTTTAATCCATCTATAAAAAATTTTTGGCAATTTGCATAGCCACAAGAAAGTTAATAAATATTTTAAATTGAGAAAGACATATTAGAAATAGAAACATGTCATTCATTTATTTAAAGGCTTAAATAGGATACCTTGAAAATACACACACAAAAGTATAAATAAATAAAATTTAATTGAAAAAATCAATAATTAAATTAGTTATTAGTTAAATCTGTCATGATCAGATAAAAGGACTATTTTTATATTCATATTACATATTTAAATGAATTTGAACTTAATTTGTTGAAACTCTTTCTCTAAAGGAAATTTTTTTTAAAAGATGCATTATTTTTCCTATTTTCTTTGTCAAAGTTTTTAAATTATGTCACTCATTATGTTTAATGGTTTTCCTGCATTTGGGATTCATAAATAAATTATTCAATTGCTAATACCTTGAAGTTTTCCTCACATAAAATATTTTGGAATCCTTCATTAATTACAGATAATGAAACTGTTGCATGCACTTTACTTATCCACAGAACTTGTAAAAAGAAGAAATTCTTTCTGGGTTCATGCTAAAGCCAAAATATCACTGCTTGTTCCTGGTAGGTAAAACTTTGTATCATTGTTTTCACCATACCCAATCTCAGTGCTCTTCCAAAGCCAAGCTTCTGGGAAGACATTTCTGAAACTTTTGACAACTTGAAGCTGTTCAGACATATCCATATCATACTCAGCAGAAAAATACATTAGGTGTACATCATCAAAGGCAACTTTAGTTCGTTCCATGCCTGACCTCAAAAAGTTTGAAGAACCCATTGGGCCTCTTAGTCCTGAATAGTTTGGTTTGTTAAGTTTCAATTAATATTGTTTAAATATTTTAATACTGTACTTAGTAAAATAATTTTTCTCCACAAAAAATCTCAAAGAATTATGAATAGGACTTTAATACTTTAGAAAATGGGATGAGATTAGGAAGCAACTCTGAAATATTTCAATTTTGAAACTGATAGAAGATTTAAATTCAACATGAAGGCAAATGTGATGAAAATAACAAAGTAAAAAATATTAATTATGCCTTGTTTCACAAGCCCCATTGTTTTATTGAGTAGTGTCGTTACGCTTTTATGCTTTGTAGCTGATACATGTTGTGAAGTCACTACAATACAAAACAATGTGCTGTGTGAAACAATGTGTGATTATTATTTTGTATTTTGTCATTTTCAAAAAATATTACTTAAGTCAGAGCTGTTTAAACTTTTACCACATTCCCTAAATAGAATGAAAGAGATTTTCAAGGAAGCTTGCTAATAAATGACACTGCAATAAATAAAGTGGTCAACACTATGTTCTCAAGCCTACAAGCCAGCCTTTGCCATACATATGAGAGTCCCCATATATCACTGATGGTGCTACACTCACATGTGCAATGAGCTTCCCAGAATTTCTGGCTATAATAAATGTTTCATTTAAGATAAAACTTCTTCACTTGTATATAATTAAATGCTCCACCCAGTTCCCCCTGTAATGTATTTTTTATGTAATAATAATAGACAATAATAGTGAGTCTCATGGCTTTGCTTTCTTTTATGATCATATTTTACTGCTTAAACTGGTATGCATTTTATCCCAGGATGTTGACTTCTTATGTTTTTTCAAGTCATTTGTGCTTCTAGATGATGATTGATATCAATGCATTTTACTTAGACAATGCTATTTTACATTAGGTGTATGTAAATATATAGAATATTTCTGTATATAAGTTTACTTTGGATGAATAATATTAAATAATCATAGGTTTTTAGAATTTTTTACCAATCTGAGGCCTTTGATATGTTTGAGGAGCAGTCAGTGTCACATCTGTAAGTGTCTTGAGGCCTATGTTCTAAAGTTTAAAAATGAGTATTTTATATTAAATTTGATTTTTAATGTATTTGATTAATTGATTAATTATAATTGAAAAAGAACTCATCACTCATCTCATCCAACCTTATAAAATTATTTTCTCTCTCACAGATCTCACTCAATTTCTCTCAGTCTTCTATAAATAAACATGAGCATTTTAAAGAAAAGAAAATGAACAACTTTACTTGATTTAGCAAGAAATTAAAGCGTTTTATTATGATTGGGCTGATACAAATGCTAAGCTAATAGATTATTTTTGGAACTGAGAACCCAATTTTATTATCTGTGAATATATATAAAAAATTAATTATCATTTTTTAACTGAAAATAAAAAGGCTGAATTCTCAGCAATTTAAAGAAAAAATTGAAACCTGCTTTAGAGGCTACTTACATAAAATACATCATGTGCAGATTTTGCACTAGAAGAAAGGGCATACTCAGAGTTTTTGGGTTTTGAGCCGGAATCAAAATCTGACATGGCATCGTTGACCTAAAATATAATATAATGTTTCAATTAATGTATGATGAGCAAGATATTTTTCCACAATCGGTCACTCAAAGCATGCATTAATAGAAAAGTTCACTTAAAGGTTTGTAAATTTAATGTCATGTGATTATTAAAGCAGATTGAGGTGACAGTAAAATGCATAGATTCAAAGAGGGAAGAGAGTTACAATTAGCTGAGCATTGCTAATGCTTGTTATGTGGTTTGTGAGGTATAAAAATCAAAATTGTATTTTGTTGAGATATAATTTCATCTTGCAAGCCCCATGTTATTGTTAAGACTCTTATGATCAAATGTTAAAAAAACATTCACCTTGTCTGGTGTGATATCATTTCCTGACTTGAGCAGCAATACACTCTGATCAACAGCCAGGATGTGAACTTGAGAGTCAGGGTCAGCAGTCAAAATCACATCTACACTTTCACCTGGCTTTGTCTCATTGACATTAAAATTGATTGACACCTGGGGACAAATGGCATTGGTTTAAATGAGGTCACACCCCAGAGGTGAAAACAATAAGAAGCTAATATTTTCTTAAATTAAAATGGGCATTTTTAAAAACAAATTATATCAACTTGTATTAATTTGTGAGTTAAAGAGATTATTAAATACATAATATCTTAATTTATTAATGTTAATGTCCTCTAAGTCTATCAACATCTGAAGCAATGTAAGAATATCAGTTCATTATACGTAAAACTTTTGTAATGAAAACATTTTTTTAGATTTTGGAATCAAATGGTCATAGTTTTTGCAACTTTTTTTTAAGATTAGGGGCTGCTCTTAACAAAATATTAAATGGATAGATATAGATAAGAATTTTCATATGATTAAAAATAACCACTTAACTTGGTTGATATTTTCATAAATCATTTACTTTATTGTAATATTTTTTAAAAACAAACCTTATTTTCAAAGAGACCCGCCACATTAAATACTAGACTGTCAACCACAATTTCATCCTCACTCCTGTCATAGTAAATCACAAGACGGGCTGTTGGAGCCATTGAAGGGGTAACTAGAAGTTTGAATGTAAAGTCCCTTTTCCCATTCCCATCCAACATTGCAGTAGCCACAACTGAACCTCGGGACAGAACCTAAAAAAAATTAATTTCACATGAGGCAATATAATGTAACTAAATGTTCACTTTTTAGAATCATTAGGTAAATTAAAATTTTTATTTAATAAATCCTGAAGTAATGAATGTTACCTGATAAGTCAATTTATTTAAAGGCTCAGTGCCAACAACTCGAACTGTCACATCATTACCTGACTGTTAAGGGAAAAAAGGTTTACAAATAATATTTAGAAATGTGTCATCTCTTGTCTATTATTTTATTTAAAGATTTATTTTTTTCATCAGAAATTATATGAAGCACAAATTTTAATTAATAAACTGAATATTTATTGTAGATTTTAAAATTGTTTCAATTTAAATTTTTTAATAATAATGTTTCTATTATAAAGACATTTTCAGCACAAAGATAACCATTTTTATGCACAGCTCAATTAAACATCAAACTTTATCAATATTTCTTTAAAACATTATTTAAAATATGGTATCGTTTTGTCAATAAATTATATGAAGCTAAAGGTTGAGATCGACTGACAGTTGGGGACAACTATAAAGTGACAACTATTTGGACAAAATAATGTTTCATTGCTTTTTTTTCTAAATCCTTACTTAAAATTTTAAAAATGTTCCTAATGAACTGTTAAATCTCTGTCATATACTTTAATTTGCCTTTTTCTTCCCATTTTTTTCAAACACAAGAATTTCATTTATTCCAGTAAAAAAATTGCTTGATAGATTTTAAGAATTTCATACAACTAAAATTGCGTAATAAAGTAGAATGTTCATTCAGATTTCCAATGCTCAGAGTGACAGTATATATGACTGATGATTATTCTTTTAGGTATTGATTAAATTTTGTTACCTGATTGTCCTGTGTTGTATTAATATTTGAACTTAAATGTGTGAATAATGTTTGGAGAACTGGAGGGAGTGATCATGTTAAGTGGGGTATAAAAAGAATAGGGAATTGTAAATAAAGGTTAGCTGTTACACGGACCACAGACTTGAGTTGGTATCTTATTATACTATTACAATCAGCACCACAAATAACTAAACAAAAACAACACATTATTAAAATAGAAAATGTCCATTTTAAATTTGTTACTCAAAAACAATAAATACAAGTAGAGTTTATTTTTCAGTTATTTTAAATTTAATTATAATAATAAATATATTTGTTTATAAATAGTTTTTAGTTATTTTAACAAGAATGAAATATGTTATGTTTACCTTGATATTTTTTTCTAATAGTGAAGCTTGGATGTAGTTTTCACTTTTTGAGTATGTTTTCTCCACTGTTCTAGTGTCAGAAATGGAGCCAAAAGTTACCTGATCAGAGATTATTTAAAAAATGAAATAAATGAAATCCAAGAAAAAATAACATGTAGAGCTTCAATTAAGGTAGATTAAATAGGGATCACTCAAACAGAAAATCAAGAATGGTGTAAGCAGATTAAATGTAATTTATTAATTAATAAGATGTGAGTGTAGTGCTTCTAAAAACTAAAACCAACATAAAAACCGAATAAACTTACATGGCACAACTTATTTAAGATTTTTCAGATGATTAATTTATTCACCACCAAAGGAAACAAATCAAAGTAAATGGGGGAAAAAAAACAGTTTACTCTATCAAGATTAAATTGATATAGTATATTAATTCATTATAGTGCATTTTATCAAATTCCTCTTTCAAAAAATGTTTGCTAAAGGGCATTTTATGACTAACTTTTGTGCCAGTAAAATGAAATTTCTGTTTAATTTCTATAAAAATAATTTACCTTAATTGTAATTGATGTTGCATTTTTTGGGATATCAATATCTATTGGTAATACTCCATTTGCTGGGAGTGTCAAGTTTTGTCCTAAAAGCGGATATGATCCTGTGAAGATATGTGTTCCATACAGACTTTGATCTGGGAGCTTTTGCTGGTAGTTGACTAAGGTGTAGGCAGAAATGACATTGTTGCCTTCTGTGGGGGGCATGTTGTCAGGACTTGACACCTGGACCTATGATAAAATAAGGACAAAATTATGATATCCATAAACATTACTCATAACAGCATTGTATTCCAGTTCAATGGGTTTTTTCAACCAAATTATTTAGTGGTTATTTAATGCAAATGTATTAAGTTGTTCTAAAGGCTTTCCTTTACCCATCATTTTGCAGATTTAAGATTTTTAACTAAGTTTTTAAATCAATATTTCACTTTTCTATTTATAAGTATTTAAACAATATATTGCTACTATTTAGACATGACTAGTCTGTCATCTTTTTTTTTCTATACGATTGTCATAAAAAAGAGTACTTTTGATTTAAAAAGCATACACTTTAAGGAATTATAAGAAAATCCTACTAAAAATAGGGACACCAAGTTTACAATTTAGTGAAGTTAGAGAAATGTTAAATAAAAGAGAGAATTTTTTTTTTACAAATGCAGTGTACTGTAGTCCTGGTTTGAAAACATTTGGTGTTGAATCCAAAAATTTGACACTGAACTTGTTCTGGTAAAATTTAATTACACTGCTGCCATTCAGCTTGACACCTGCACACCAAAAATAAAACTTATTTAAAAACATAAACAGGTAGAATTTGAATCTTCATGAGCAAATATAAATTAGGCTGACATTTTCTCATTTAGTGACATGAATTGTTTTACATTGTATATTATAATAATATGTTAGTCAAAACTGTATTTTTAAAACTTAAAAAGAAGATAATAACTAGCACCAACTCCTCTTATCTTTCTCATGTATATCCACATTTGGTTTTACTTTGAAATTTTTAATTATCCTCACACAGTAGTTATAAAACATATTTAAAAGTTTAAAAATGAAACTATTTATGGACAAAATAAAATTAATTAGAAATATATAAATATTTAACGGCAAAGAACAGAGAGTTTGAAATTGACTTTATCTTGTGGAATGTAATTATTTAAGCAAAAGAAACAAGGAGCTTTATCACAAATTCTACTTTTTGGCTTGTAATGACTCATATTAATTAAGAAAATTCACCTGTTGATGCCTCAGTTACAAATGCTGTTATCCTTGCCTCAGAGTTATCATAAATACCAACTACCCTTTGGATGTCTTCTTTAGGAATTGTAAATGAGCTCTCTCCATTTATCTGAAAAGCAAATTAAATATTTTTTTTTGCCATTCATAATATGTAATGGGAGAAAAAGTTTATCTGCCATGTTCATTATTATTATTAGAAATTTCTTCTCTTTCGGTCCTGCTAAAAATTTTCCAGCTATTATAAATAATGTTTTTAAAACACATTTTTTTGTGTGAGTCCTTTGTATAAAGGTGACTACAACTTCCTTTTTTGTCAAATGAAGAAACATTAAAAATCTGTTCTGACAAATAGGGTTATATGTTATCATAATATTAATCAAATTATAAGACACCAAACAGTTCTGTTTATACTTAGTGATTTAACTAAGTCTGTATAGAAAAAAATATTTTTTTTAATGTTAAATAATTTGTATCTTTTTAAAAATTTTAATGTATTTTATGATTGTAGGACCATTCTTCTTTATTCAATTAATGATCACCTCAAATGCAATCTGTGTTGTTTGGACCTGACTTCTTCCACATTCATTTGGACGTAGTTGAACATTTCGGCCAACATGAAGTTCCACCATACCTACTACAGGCTGACCAAATGTGTACCTGAAAGATGGAGATACAAGGAAGTAGTTAGATGATATGACATCATTAGTTCATTAAATGAGGGAAAGACGCTCATACAGAAAGATTTAAGATCATTGAAATGACAGAGGGCAAATACATTTGAAAATTTATTTTGTCACATTCTTTATTTTATGTCTTAAAGTAAAAAATATAGTCTATAACAGCCAATTTTATTTACAATGTTTTTCAGGTTGATGACACAAAAAAAGATAGGGTGTCTAAAAATTATCATCTGCTACAAAGATTTATATGCAAGTTCTTCAGTGAGTATTTGTACTTTCAATTTTCCTAGGGAGTTTTAAAAACATCATGACTAAATTTTCAAATAGTTATTTAAGTTACGCTTCAATTCCTAAAGATTAGTTTACAGTTTACACAAATACAATAATCGTCTATTTTCTTTACAACTTCTTAATATGCAGTAACATTTATTACATGAGTGGCTAACACCATCAAGCAGAAAAATTCATCCATTTGTAAAATTAAAAATATATGTTTCACTAATTGTATGCTTTTATGAACTAATTTTGAAGTAAAATACATATAATATATATAGGCCTATATATATATATATATATATATATATATCTATTTATATATCTATATATATATATATATATATATATATATATATTGTAAATTTATTTTATATTTATATATATTTTTTTTGTTTTATTGAGGAAAGATTATTTAAAGATTAAACTGTATTTACACAAATATATAAAATAAAAAATATATATTTCACTAATTGTATGTTTTTATAAACTAAATTTGAAATAAAATACATATAATATATATATATATATATATATATATATATATATATATATATCTATTTATATATCTATATATATATATATATATATATATATATATATTGTAACTTTAATTTATAATTATATGAATTCTTTTTGTTGTAGTGATGAAGGATTAGTTAAAGCTTAACCTGTATTTACACAAATTGTTTAACTCTCATTGATCTAATTAAAAGCTTTATCACAACCCAACACTCTTACATGCTTTAGCAGTGTTTTCTACTTTCTGGGCTTGTGCTTCAACTTTCCACATACATGACTAAGCAAACTATCACAACAATGAAAAATAAATACAAATTTGTAACAAAAATTAAATATTATTATTTGAAAAAAATATTTCCTTAAATGTTTAAAAAAAATAGAACTATATTTCGTCAGAACTACATTATGCAAAAATTATGTTTATGGCAAGGCATTGCAGTATTTTATTTCAGTAATTTGAAATTGCTTTCACACTCAGACTCAGAAAATTAGAGGAAATGAAGTGGCCAAATCCAATACAAGTTTATTTTTCAAGTGCAGGCAGCATCTGTAACAAATGCTACCTACTTAGCTTTAACTTTTCCTGTCAGGACTGAGTCTTCGACCAAACCATAGGGAGGTAATTCAACAATCACTTCAAATCTTGGCAAATCTGTTTGAACAATGAAAGAAAGGGTTTCTTTTGAAAAACAAAAAGAACTTTGGTAAAACATGTTGGCATGCATCATAGCTGATGTTTTTATAATAAAACATGCAGAATAAAATGTAGCATAAACATCAGTATTCTATAATCTTTCACTTACCATACTCAGCTACTTCAAAGGACTGGGACTCGATGTCTGTGAAGTCCTTTAGAGAAAAAATATAAAGAAACATTTCAATCATTTTCAATGAAAAGATTAAACCCAGTCACTGATTTAATCTAAGCGATATATAAAGAAATGAGTTTTATTTTCCCTCTTGATCGCCTCTATTTCTCAAAAATTATTCCATACCATACCCTTCCAATACTTTATTTGAGCAGAAAACTTTGATTGAGTATTCTTCCATTGTTAACTTTTTCACAACCATATCAAATTGTCTGTGACATTGATAAAATATTTTTTTTTTTAATTCTATGGTGACAAATACCTCAAGAAATGCACTAATACTCCATGTACCGAATTGGGGTTGGTCACTCAGTACAATGTTATCTTCAACAACCCCTGATAACCCTTGCAAACCTTTGAGAATCTTAATTTTGTTGCCACTTGGGTCCTAAAAAAAATTTGTTTAAACTTTTATGGCATATTTAATTATTTTTTTGTAAATTAGCAGAAAGTAACAGATTTAAGGAGTCATCCTTTAGTAATGTTAACAAAATAGAGGAGTGTGGATGGAAAATGTTTAACAATTGTTGAGGGGGGGTGGGGGGATAAAATGACATGAACAATAATTTTTTCTCTGATATATAAAAATAAATATAAATCATTGCCTAGATGATTGTTGCAAAATATTTATTTATTTTTAGTGTTTATCAAAATTCTTCAAATTGCGAATGGTCAGACCAGCACCAATATTGTGCCGAAAAAAATTACCATCTGCTCCAACATAAGAAAAATGTTAAAAGATTTGAGCCAATTTGAGTGGTTGCCAAAAGACAGGCAGAGGTGATGGAAATTATTGCACACAAAGAAAATGCTGCTATTTGAAGCATTTATAAGGTTAGACTAGTCAAGGATGACATCAGCAAGTTTCATAATAATATTGTTATGGAAATTATAAATTCAGTAGTTGCTTTGCGCTTTTGCAAAAGAGAAACATGTGGCTGATTAATGTGAAGATGAAAAAAACTAACAATATTTACTGACAAGAATATATTTGGACCTTATTAATTATTTAATAAACATGAATTATAAAATGGACTTTAGTCATAGATTCTATTTATTACAAATAAAAATTTATTTAAGAAGTTTAAAAAATCTAAATAATTTTGTTGTTCCTCACCCATTTCTATATCACATCCTTTCAAAAATATCTATGTTTATTTTTTTTTAATGTTTTTATGGGGGGTATACAATTTTTGACATAATTAATTAGAGGGTTACATAAAACTTTGAAAGTTGTTGTCAAAAAGGAGGGAGGGGTTAAAAAAAATTGCCTAAACATTATTGAAATAATTAATGGACTTAATTAATCTGGCTTAATGCTATCAAATACTTGGCATGTAAATTACTATTTAATAGACAAAATTTACCAGAATGTGAACATTAAATTTTCCTGCATACAGACTAAGGTCAGGAAAAACAGCCAGTGCCCTAAATCGTACTGTTGAATAAATAAAGGCAAGTTAGTTAATATTTTACCTTGACAAATAACAAATGAGCCTATATTTTTTTTTTTTTTTTTTTTTTTTTATTTATAGTCTACATTTTTTTTTTTTTTTTTTTTTTTTAGTGATAGTCTACATGTTCATTTATTAGATCTAATATTAACGATGTTCTAATTTTTATCTAAAAATAATGTAATTATCGATACGCTTATTTAGTCATGGACAATTTGGATGCACGATTTCATTGTAAACTATTTAATTAATTTAATTGAGATAAATGGTGGAATGCATGATGAACTATAACAATACACTTTTCATTTACAACATATCCTTAATGTAAGGATCACAGACATGTGGACATATAAATTTATAATCCATTTTTTTTTCTTTTTATAACGTATTTATGTCCGTTTGTCTTATGACTGTCAATGTCCGCTACAATCCACCTTTTTTTTTTTTTTTTTTTTAATAATCAAAATCATTCAATACATAAACAGAGTAAAACTGAAATAATTACAGGCAAATTTTCTGAAGTTTTAACTGAACAAAATTTTTACATTATAATGGTGTGAAATAAATTAAAATTTATGCCAATTACTAATTTTTTAACATTATCTATAAATGAATTGGAATTATAAACAAGGAATGTATTATTTTGTTATTATATTTTCTTAACTTGTGTTTTGAATTATGTTTTGTATTTTAAATCGAAAAAGTTTTTCTAATGTAATGTTTGTGTAATTCTGTTTGTGGAAGAAAGCCTTAAGTCTGTGGTGCCATACATGTTTTCTGTAATGTGAAAGTAATATTAGACTTATTGTGTGTTGTTTCTTGTTTATGGATTCTGGTATTGTGTTTAGTGTTATAGCTCTGTCTATATCTACTGGGTGAACTGTACCTGTTTGTATGATTTGTTTAAGTGTAGATTTAGTCTGTAATATTGTGTTGCATGTCAGATATAAATGTTGTTCTGTCTCATCAGCCCCTGTCCTGCAGAGTGGACATTCCATGTACCTAACCCTGTCCTTGTATGGTCTTGATGATACTGGTGTCCTGTTGTATATGAGTCTATATGTTATTTCTTTGTCTTTATTTTCGATTTCTTTAATGTGTGTATTTTTAAATGTATTCTTAGTGTTTATTGTTCCATAAACATGTGTCCATTTTATCCTATTGTAGAGTGGTGTTGCTTTTTTCTTTATTAAATGTGTGTAAATTTCTTTAGTTTGTCTTGTGTATAAGTGTTTCGTTGCCTTTTAATGCTTGAATGCATGCCATATGAAAATCCGATTGTTTTCTTCCCATGTAATGGGGTGTGTTGTTATCAATTTTTTTTAACTGTCCTAGCCTTATCCCAATGTAATAATGTGTAAATAAATTTTCCTCGTTCTTTCTAATGGCTTGTCCTATAACTTTGATTCTAAGTGCTTCTAGTTTTGTTTGTATGTCTTGTAAATTAATCCCCCCTTCTATTTTAGATTGGATTAATGTTGTATTTTTAATGTTTTGTATTGTTCCTTGAAATATCTAATTCTTGATGTGTAAGTTGATTTTTCTTAAAATGGCTGGTGGAGGTCCCCATGTGTTCCTTGTGTATATTGTTTTAGGAATTACATATGTGTTTATGATTGTGCTCCGCCAAAAATTGTGTGTGCTGTGTATTTATGTCTGTCAATTATGTTTTTTATTAACTGTTCAATGTTTTGCCATGTTTCTGTGTTAGTTTGAGTCTGTTTGTTTGAAAAATAAATGCCATATATCCTAAGACTATCTTTCCTTACGATTTCTAAAGGGAAATCTAGTCTATCTTTCCACCTACCTATCCCTATAATTTCAGATTTAGTTATGTTTATTTTAGACCCACTACCTCTTCCAAATTCTTGAAATATTGATATTATTTTTGAAATAGACTTATCATCAATAGGAAAAAAACGTGTGTCATCTGCATATGCAATGACTTTCGTTTCATTACCCCCAGGGATCCTTACTCCTTTAATACTCTCCTCCTTTCAAATTCTCTCTAACAAGGGTTGAAAGGATAGGATATAAAGGTAAGGGGATAGGGGACACCCTTGTCTAACTGATCTGTCAATTTTAATGTCTTTAAAAAATACATATAAACCAACAATGCAGCATCAAAGGTAGTGACATCCAGAACCACAATCATTTCATTAGAGACCTTATTCAATATTCAAATGACAAAAACATCCAAACTTGCATATTATCTCTAGACCAAGAAAAAGTCTTTGATAGGGTAGACCATAAATACCTACATAAAATATTACAACACAACAAACTAGGGGATTATTTTTGTAATTGGGTACAAATTTTATACAAGTCCCCCATTAGTAATCTTATAATTAACAGCACATTTTCTAAATGGGCCTATATTATACCAAAATATAATTTAGAAAAGTATTTGAGAGATAGTAGATCTCATAATGAAGTCTTTTAAAGATTGCAATTTTTTTACGGCTTGTAATAAATTTAACATTTAAATGCTTTCAAAATATTGTAATTCTGTGAAGTAGGCCAAAATTTAATTATTGAGTTGGTTATTATGTTATTTCTTTACATAATTTTTAATTTTACAACTTAATCAATTTTTTTTTTTTTAAATGAATTATTTACACATTTTTTACCAAAAATTAATATTGAAGCTACTAGATTTCAATTTTGGATGAAATTTTTATTTTGTTATGAACCTTCTTAAGGATCAAATTATTTAAAATTATTTTCAATTTTTTGAATACAATGAACTGTAGGGAATAATAGAAAAATGTATTGGTCTATAATTCATATGAAAATAAATGAATCAATACATAGAATAATTTCAATGGTTATTTCAAATGAAAAATAAAGATGGGAATTATTCATTGCATAAGTTATATAACACAAGGTTTCTTAAAAGTGGAAGTTAGAGAGCACACTTTAGGATAACAAACTTCACAATTCATCCTCAAGTGAATTTATCCATCTAAGAAAGTGATTATATATATAATTTACAATGACTAAAATGAATAGATTGGAAGAAACCCCATCAACTAAAGAAAAAGTATTAGTTAAACTGTTTCCAATTTTCCTGTTATTAGAGCCCATCAAATTTGTCAGATGGGTTAATAATTTGTTATAGGATTAGTAGTGCCTCATGTTCAATAAATATTTTGTAAGGCAGTAATATAATTTATTAATCTCATTATAATAATGCTTACCTGTCTCTGTAGGTTTATAGATAGCTTTGTCTGTTTGGATTAAAATAGACACTGATCTATAACTTAGTTGCAGTGTTGTGCTTGCCTCAAACTGTAAAGGGCCTTGACCTTTAAGCCTCAGGCTACAGGTATTGCAAGTGATGTTAGCATCAATCTTTGAAATAGATAATTTTTAAAAATAAAATTTAATGGGTTTCCAGAGGTGAAAACTTTTTTTTTTTAAATTCTTAGCCATACAATTCAGGAACAAAATATTTTTCTTTTAAGATTATATCATGTCCATTTAAAAGTAAAGAGTTAAGCAATGTTTTTATATCAAAGAAGAAAATAAAAAATCTTGAAATATTTCTCGATTAATATAATAATATTGATATTTAATTATAATTTGGACCAATAAAAATAAAATTTACAATAGCCTGCTTATTAATAAATTTTATTTTTCATAGAAGATGGTCTTCAGTATTCTTAAATTACATACTTGTTGTAGCTAATATATTCATTTTTATCATAAACCTAGATGATACAGTTTAACAAATTTGTGTATTCCTTTTTACATAAGTCTTTAGAACCCCCTATGGATATATTAATTTGAAACTTACCGCAAATGAAAGAGTTCCAGTCACACCTTCATGAAAAACAAAATGGATAGAAACAATTTAACAAGCCTTAAAATTGTATCACTTGATAAATTACTTTAATCTTGCTATGGAATTGAAAAACTAATTGGACAACAGAAACTTTCTGACATTAAAATGCATTTCATGTATGTTTACCAGAATTTAAATGGATGAGGGTGCACATGATGCCTCCAATTTACTTTTTAGAATTTTCTTGTGTATAAAGCCTAGATACCAGATTATTTGTGCTATGATAAATACATATTTTTGTTCATGCCAGGCTCAACATTTAGTATTCCCAAAAAACTGACAACCATTAAAATTGTAATTATTCAATGACTTTACCTTTTATAAAATTGCCTTTCATTGTTTGCAATGTGACAACATCATAACGATTATGCACTGAGTTGTAAACCGAATCCTGTAGTGAAGCCTCCACTGGCACACTCACGTTGTCCTTAAGAATGTCAATGCTTATGTCAAAGATGCCCCCACGGTAAATTGTTTGTGGGGCAGTGATGAAATAAGTTCCAGTTCTGGGTAAACAATTTTTATTTTTCATTAACTTTTTATATCAATCTTAGTAGGGGAAAAATTGTGTATAATTTTGAAGCAAGTAGCTTATGGCAGATGAATGAATAGTGATCAGTTCCTCAAAAACTATTTTAAGGAAATGGAATATTATTTTAGTTCTTTTAATCAAATTGACATGTCTTTAAAAAAAAAGGATATTTTGTATTATAAACTATCCTTGATTCTCTTTGCAAATTGCTTCTTTTTTAAAAAAAATTAAACCAAATTTTTTATAAAATGTTATTTTAGTTAAGGTTCCTTATCCTCAAAAACCGACTATACAGCACTGTGAGGATCTTCTCTTCCCCTCCACCATGAAGGTTTTAAAGTAGTATTAGTTGTATTTATAATTATTTAAATATTTTATTTTAGGCCATAAAAAGAATTGTTTTTGCTCTTCTTCATAACTCTGAAATTGCAATTTTATTTTTTAAATATATGGACTCCTAGTGCTCAAAGCTTACATAATTATGTGAATATACTGAAGGTGTACCAACATCAATATTTTTATTATGAAGTGTCCACATTGCATACATAATTTATTTATTTATCTTTTAAAAACAACACATCTCAATTAAAATGATTACTCTCTAAAAAAACAAAATTGTGGCTACATAAAAATGGATTGGTCTCCCTTTAGCTCATTGAGCAGGTTATCCTATTACTGGTAAATTGTATTATTTATTTGATCAATCATATATATTTCTTGTCATGTGTGGGGGGGGGGCTTTATTCCAATTGATAATACTTACTCCCCATAGGCTCCTGCAAAAGACAGGAATATTAAAAGCATAAGCATGCCTTGTTCCATCTCTGTGCTGAAAAGTGTTAGAAATTTTCAAAAATTAATAAAGCATGTAACCAAACATGGCAACTTTAGCCACTTCAAAGCAGTATTAATAATAATTAAATTCAAGATAAAATATTGTTTAAAATTATTTGTTTGGTTGAACAAAACATCTTTTATCCCTAAAACCATTTATTTTCAGCAGAGTAAAATACTTGTATCCACTTTCACTTACTACACACCAATGTTTGCATCCACTAACTACACAAATGCTTGTATCCACTGACTGTGACTGACTATACCACTGCTCCTATCCACTAATTACACAATGCTTGTATCCACTAACTATGCAATACCAATGCTTGTATCCACTAACTTCACCAAGGCTTGTGTATTTAACAACAACACCAATGCTTTGAATTCCGGATTTTTTTAATTCAGAGCAAAGATTGAATTAATAATTTTAAATAAGCAAGCTCTCATTGCGTGAGGTGGAAGTTGGGTAGAAGTTGTCCACATTGCTGACCTCCACTCCAAAGTTCATGTCATCAAGACTATAATTAAGTAGTAGATGGTGAAATAAGTTTTAAAACTATCTTTCACAATACAAAAGATGCAACATTCACTGATCTCTTAGTGAGTCGAGAAATGACTGAAACGACACCACAGCTTGATAGCTAAAAATAGATTTATTGATATCGGTTCATTTGAAATAATCTTTGAAGCAATAATAAAGCACGCTGAAATTCTCCAACATTACAATCGATAATTGACGGAATTCGTGAACAACACTACTAATTCAAGAATTAGTCCTATAACATTATATGAACTTATAATGTACATATTTTTATGGATGAGAATAAGAGGGACAAGCCATTTGAAATACGATGTAAACAAACCCTAGTCCCTTTGTAACTTGCGTAATTTATGTTGTGCTTTTACTGTAACAGCTTGGCTAGAAATGCAGTAATCTCCCGTCTGTTTGTTTTTGTTTCACATTCCACAATGTCAAGTCGCAGCGCAGCAAGCATCTACGTTGGTTTAGCGCGAGCCAACAGTTTTGAAAGAGTACATCTAACAGGACACAACAAAACAAACAATAATGAGGTGGGGACCGGCCGCGTGACGCAAATGGCCTACTGCTTGTTTATGAGTGGAACTCCTCACTCACTAAACTGACTTCCTCGTTCTTAATTAAACTTTCCCAAAAGTTGAGATTGGTGGGGGTCAGAGTGTAACGGTGTAGGTATAAAATGTGAAACTTTTAACTCTAGAAATGTTTTTAGGGACGTGGCGAGATTGTCAGGCCGCCGACCTGTCCCAACAAGAAGTGGGGCCCTTGTTGTGAAACGGGCCCGTTGGCACCTTTTCCATATAAATATTTCTACTATATCGCAGTTGATGGGACAATTATGACCACATAATGATAACTCACGTTCCTGTAGTTCTAAGTCTGGACAAAGAATTAAAAGAAAGACTTAATGTAAAGGCCATCGAGAACTTTGGTAAAGCAAAGGCATAGTAAAAAAAAAAACTATCAACATATTCATCATATTGAATACATGTAAGGACCCCTTGAAAACAGATGTACATTCTCAACGTGGTGGATTCGTGGATGCGCGTTAATAAAAGACCAAGTGCCTTTGGTAAAAAGAAACATTAAAATAAACCCCATCAGAAACATCATCAGATCTTGACATTTTCTAAGAAAGTCCACTCAATGAAAATTTCAAATCAAAAGCAAAATTTTGTCATTTTGATTGTTTGTATATACTTTAAAAAAAAAGAAAAAAATAACGCTTAAAGATTTTCATGGTTACAAATAGGACCAGAGGCGTCACAAGTGTTGGTATCACCAGGTGCTGTAAGTTTTATTATGGACTCTCCAACCCACACCGCCCCTTCATCGAGTAATTCTTAACCAGAGTAAATCGTTTTTTTTTTTTACAGATATGCCCCGGGGGCACTTTTCTATATATTAAGGGGCACCATTTTCCAGCCGCGCCCCAGGTGCAACATTTCCTCCACAGCGAACAAACAACATTAAAAGAGAATAAAATACAAATAACACTTAACTGAAAAGTAGTATCCGATGTGGCAGCAAACGAATGGTGAAACCCTGAATTTGGCATAAGCGCCGGGGAATTGAAACATTCTAGGAACCTCTGAACTAGCACATTGAAGATGGACGAAATATTACTGTAATACTGCTACTAATGAAAAGTATTGAAGCGATACCTCGCTAGTTCATTTTTGAAATGACAACATTATAACGATAATTCCTACACAACATTGCGTCATAGTTTTGCAGCTTTAGAGATATGCTATTTTTGGACTGTCAGGTGGAGCTAAACTATTCCCTGCGCTTGCCTTTGCGGAGAAATAGGATAAGACAAATGGAAATAAGACAAACAAGTCGTCGCTGCCAAAAGTACAGACCAGCCGGACGACGAGAGGGAAGTACGAACAAATATGGACATAAAAATTAGTACCGACAAGGGGGTCGAACATACAAACTGCCCGGACATCTGGTAACCCTATCTGAGGCTCGCTATGACATTTTTTTTCCACCACGCCCTAAACAGCAGTGTAATTTTACATTGTCATCATCATAACAACCAGAGATTTAGCGTTACTGCCCTTGTTAGTATCCGCCCATTACGACGATAACTGTATATGTGAAGAGACGACCCACATTTTCGTGTAGCTTTTACCAAACGGGGTGTTTTATTGTGCCTACGGGGCTCCAGTTAACAAGTCTGTGGTGGCTTGTCGATTAGGAGGCGTCGGCCACCGACCCCCTCGACGTTACCCGGGAAACACAACCACTGGGTGCGTCCTGCGTGGGCAGACAAGGGATGTGCTCGGTACCTGCCGTACATAAAACAGCTCCTACAGGGCTGCCAGTTGTGATATTTTCCAACTGGAACAATAGGCATTGACACGGTAGGGATCATGATTACAAGTTGCCGTTAATGGATATGAGGCGAGATGCGAAGGTGGTAAGCTCTGGCCGATGATTCTTACTACGCAGCCCTGAGAAGCTGCTCCAAGGCAACCGTTTCGTCCCAGCTGCATCGCGAATTAGCTGCGTTGTGGAAACCCACTGTAGAATCCCTATTATAGGGCGTCTAACGCTTCCTCGACTCGGGTTGGGGGGGGGGCGATATTAGGACGTAGATTTTTCCATCCCGACTCCTGAGAAAGTCGATCGTGTGCACTGATCAGAGAATATTCTTAAAGATACTGATCAGAGAATATTCTTAAAGATACTGATCAGAGAATGGTCGGAAGCAGGGTGCACAACATCTTAATGGGTGTAGCCCCAGTGTAGAAATGTTTTATCACGGAAAGCCCCTTGGAAATAAAAAAAAAAAACTAAATTGCGCCGCACTGGAGTAAACAGCTTTATGAAAACTATTCTTAAAATATCCGACTTTTATTACGTAACTCAACTTTCTTTATTTCATCGCAGCCTTACATCAATCTTATTTCACATTATGATAAAGATATCGTTTTTTTTATTAGCTCAGTAAAAACAATGTAATTAAACGGCGCACCACCAGAACTCATCCTACGGGTTATTTTCTATAAATAAATACAACATTTACATATGTGGGGAAATAGAATACTAATGGTGTAGCCTAAATCCAAAAATATTATTAAACCATGCCGACATTACAAAATGGGAGAGAACTTACAATTTGCTAAAACATGCACCGCTTCTTTGGTCGTCTCCCTGCGGGGGAAAATTGCCTCCCTTGTCCACTGACGCTTGTTTATATAGTTGGTGTGCAACCTGTTACCGAGTTGCAACGAGAGGGGGGAAAAAAGTGCTTTTGTTGTTGTTTAGTATTTAGTATGACAAATTAACGGTAATTTTCGCTTGCACGCCAGGCAACCTTGCTAACAGATGTTGCTATGGCTTTGTTGTCATTTAGAGGCTAGATTTCATGCATCCATCATGCAGCATTTTAGTAGATAAAATATTCGTTGCACGTGGGCATAACTTGTCAAGGCCAAGGCTACCGTGAGAAAAAAATAGTCCTTGGATTTAAAAGTGGGAAGGAGGGGCTGAGTGGGCTTATTGCCTAAGACGAAAAGTTTGCACACAAAAAAAAAAAAAAAAAAATGGGTGGGGGGGGAAAATTTTAAAAAAAGATTGAAAAAAGATTTGTTTGGATGGGTTTTTTTTATTTTTTTTTTTTTTGTTTTTTGTTGTTGTTGTTTTATTTATTTATATATATGTATATGTATATATCGCTAAGAGTACTGTGACTGTATCGTATTTTATTGCAAAATTCTACTGCCAGAACATCTAAGACTTTTTCTAATTAGGTTAAAACAACATGAAGTAATAAGTTTACCAATCTATATCCTGACATTATCCCTAGAATATTCTGCGGATCTGTCAATCAATGTTGGGCGTAGGACTAGTGGGGTCCGATGTGGTGGTCCGACCCGGGTGATACTTTGTTTTTTTTTTTGTTTTTTTTTTTGGGGGGGGGGGGGGGGGGGGGGGGGGGGGGGTTTTTGGTCTGTTTTTGGGGGACTGCGTCCACAAGCCGTGTAGAGTAAATAAATAGTTGAAGAAGATACGTTTAGGCTTAGAAATATCCTTCCTGTAATGAACACTGACCTTTTAAAATATTTTGTTAAAGGTTCAGATATATCACTTAAGAACTGAGGGTGAATTTCCATCTTACACAGCAGATATTTTAGAAGCTTTTGGAACCAGTCGAATAAAAACTAGATTAGAAATAGTTTTGCTGTCGTTTGCACAATGAGCCATGACATACGACACAGTCGGTACGTTAATTGTTTATATGTACACACACACAAAAAACAAAAAAAAAACAAAAAAAAAAAACGCTATGCATGGGGTACATTTTCAACGTACAGATTTTAGAAGCTTTTTGAACCAGTAGAATAAAAACTAGATTAGAAATAGTTTTGCTTTCGTTTGCACAATGAGCCATGAAAAAAGACACAGTCGGTACGTTAATTTTTTATATGTACACACACACAAAAAAAAAAAAAAAAACAAAAAAAAAAAACGCTATGCATGGTGTACATTTTCAACGTACAGTGTGATATTAGAGTCAGTTTAACAGCCAGGGGATAATTTATACGATTTAGATTCGGGAAGCTACCCTCACTACCTACACCAGCGGTTCTCAACCTGTGGGTCACGGCCCCTTTGGGAGGTCATACGACCCTTACACAGGGGTCGCCAAAGACATCGGAAAACACAAATTGATGAAGTAACAACGAAAATAATTTTATGGCTGGTGATCACCACAACATGGCGAAGTGTATGAAAGTGTTGTGGCATTATAAAGGTTGGCCTACTCTGATTCTTTATAGTGAGAACAATCGTAAAGACAACATACAATTTTTTTTATTTTACCTTTCAGTTAAAAATAGAAAAGAAATATTATTTAGAGATGTATTAGGCTTACTTCCTGGGGGGGGGGGGGGGGGATGAACTTAAAAAAATATATGGACTGCAGCTTTTATTTCCCATCAGATATCTTCAGCCGCTTTGTCCCCCTTATGAATTAACGATGTTTCAAAATGACTGCACTCCTTTTAAAAGGCTTACTTCCTGGGGGGGGGGGGGTGGATGAACTTAAAAAAATATATGGACTGCAGCTTTTTTTTCCCATCAGATATCTTCAGCCGCTTTGTTCCCCTTATGAATTAACGATGTTTCAAAATGACTGCACTCCTTTTAAGCACTTCTTTAGCAGTTTTAGATAAACATAACAAATATTTCCAATTTTATGCAATCATTGATTCGGTCACTCGGAAATAGAATGAAGCATGAGTGTAAACTGACGACGTTGGCAAGATGAAGACAGGTAACGCAGCTGAATCAATTGATTTGCACCATTTCTAAACTACAAAATCAGATCCATGGAAACTTCTAAAAATTCATTTAATTCTAACAAATTATTTTAAAAAAAAATAAAAATCGCTTCTCGGACTTTTTGCTAGGATCAAAATATAGTGTCTTTTCCTGTTAGGTTTCAAAACCTTTCTAAGTGGCTTGTGGTATTTCGCTTTGTGTCTGGCCGTAGTCGGGGACGATCGTTGCTACCGATAGAGAGCCACAAGGCCAAGAGACCCGAAAGGAGTGACTACCTCCGTATTGCAGTAATTATGGGGGAACTCTCCCTTACAAAAAATGATAATTGTTAATTTGTATCCAACTTAATTACTTTAAATTTCATACATTGATTTAGGCATATTTGATTCCGATCTGTTCTTACAACAACAATCATTTTTAGTCCAGATTTAAGGAAAAATAGGAATATAATTTCGTTTCTCTTTTCTCATTAGAGCAAAGTCATCTCACAATTATGTAACTTAATGGGCTTACAATGACATTCTCTGTACTCTTAATGAAACTGTTTTGCAATCATTGTAACGCACAAGCTTGTGGACACCATTCTGAAGCAGCTTTCCAAATGAACTTGCGGAACGGGCTATGCAACATTGCATTTCTCGCGAACAATAAAGAACCAGTTGCAGCCAACAAATATGATACCTTTAAGGGAATCTAATGCAACAAATTATAACACAATATATATATACATAAAATGTATAATTAGGAAACTAACTTTTTCGACTTGGCCAAATCTCGAATTTGAATCTTCTTCTTCTTTACCTTTTCAACTCCCAGTTGGCCCATTAACTAATACTTTCCAGGCCTTCCGGTCTCTTGCTATCTTCTCTAACTCTTTCAAACTCTTTTCAATTCCTGACATCCTTGTTGCTCAATCTTCACTGGATTTTTTTTTTGGGTCTTTCTTGTCCTCTTAATTTTTGGGGGGTTCACAAAGGTTTTGCTGTCTTTTCCAATCTTTCTTACTTGATCTCCAGGTTTCTGAACCATACAGTAAAACAGACTTAACATTTGAGCTAAATATTTTGTTTTGTTTTGTTGTCTTTCTCTTTATTTGCCAAGTGTTATAAATAGTTTTTTGTAAGGTAAAAGCTTATCTTGGTTATGGACTATTTATTTATTATTATAGTGCAAAACAAAAATTAAAATCAATGCGCTCTTCACGGAACATATCCTTATTTTTTATAGAATATGTTCAAATAACGGGAACAATTTCAAAGTCTTCTGGTTTGTACATTTACAACAGTATTTCGTAAAAAACAAAATATAGCCTACATCAAAACTGAGGGAAGTTATGCATAGTGCTTACTGGCTTTATAGTTTATACAGAGTAGTTGCCTTGTGGGCTAGAAATCTTCCATTTTGAAAGTTATCTAACATCTCTAGTTCATAGTTCCGGTTCTATTTGTGGGTGTGTCACTGCCAAATACACAGGAGATTTCATATTGAACAGCACAGCATATTTGTTGACTATTTGTCCAACAGCTGTAAAATCACAGTAGATCACTTATCATGGCTGAACAAGTATAAACAATTTTATTTAAACAAATTATTAATAATATATGATTTATATTGTCTTAAGTTTAATTAAGACTTAAACTTACTATGACTATCTATGTTCTTGACGTCCTAAATTTAGGCTATATAATATTAATATTATATATATATCAGTAATCAGTATAAGTTTATTTATATTTATGGCTCAAATTAGTCCAAACAATATCAACATTTTATTTGAACCCAACAAACACAAAATAAGGATGCAGCTTTAAATTTTCATATGCAGAGCTTACTTAACTCCTTGTTTTTAGTGTTTTTACAATCACAGATGTTATTTTTTTTTAAAAATAAATACAAATAATTGCTTTGTTTTTTTTTTGTTAATAATTTGCAGCAGCACTCCAAATTGAGCTATGTATTTTTAACATTTAATAAGTTACAATTATTTTTCACTCCAATCATGCAGTTTTTTTATAGAAAAAAAATAGGATCTCATTTTTAAATAATTATTTTAACTTTTTTTAAGGATGTTTTAATAATTATTTAAAGAAGAAAATTCAAAATCATAAGTTATACTTTCATTTAATTTTTAATAGGAAAAAAATAGGTTATTATGTTTAAATAAATTATTTTAACTTTTTGGTATGTTTTAATAATTATTTAAAAAGAAAATTCTAAATCATAATTTATACTTTCATTTTTAATATGTATATTATATTAAATTATCTACAAATTCTGTAAATATGAATTCTGTAAATATGAGATATAATTTATAATACTTTTCTGGGGAGAAATATGCAAGAAATATGGGTGAAAGTGATGACCTGAAAAATTGGTAACAAAATTTGGAGAAAAACTTCTTGATTAAAAAAAAGAGTTCCTATTGAGGTCCGATCTAAACTAAATAATTCACAACCTTTGAACCACTTGAGCTAGAAAGTTGATCTTGGTGCTTTTGTAAACCATTCTATGTGCTCTACTCAACTATATTGTGTTAATGGTTTTATAATTTTGTGGAACATTTCACCAAATAAACTATATTTAGTAAAATTATTCAATTAGGGTTACAAATGGCCTACTACTAGTTAAATATTAGCCTACTGGACTATTTGTGAGTATTCTGACAGAAGATGTCACTTTTATAAATTTAATATTTTAATTGCCAAGAGTGTTTTAGATTAAAATTTTGTAATAGTTTTTATATTTCAAACTCAATTTGTTAGTTTAAAATTGTGACATACTTGGGGGTTGGTGGTCTGCTTTAGATTTGTGACCAGTGAAGGAGGGGGGGGGGATTATCAAAAAATAGTGTGATGTACTTTATGGATGGGGGGCTTCTAAGGTCTCTTAATTTAGATAAAGTGTATGAAATTTTCCATTCAATAAAATGGCTTTCTAAGGGGTGCACCCACTATCATCACAGTAAATGGTACCTAACCTTGTTTTAAGCGATTTTGTATTCTGACTACCCAATATATTTGATACTAATAATGATAATAATTAAGCCTACATACCCCTGAATTTTAAACAAATTTGAAGGAAGTTGAAATTTTATGCATGACATTTTTCAAGTTAGTTTTAAATTGAAAGGAAAACTTGATTGAAATTTATTAAAGAATCACTTGATTTTTCAGAAATATTTATTTAAAATGGAAATGACATGTGATGGCTGTGCTAATGCTGCTAAACGTGTTTTGGGCAAGTTGCGTAAGTTGTTTATGTTGGTTTTTTTTTTGGTCAATTACAAAATTGTTTTACTTGAAAATAGAAAATCGTATTGAAGATAATTTTTAAAAAAAAGAATTATTTTAACTTGTTTTAAGAATTTAGTTAAACGGCTTTGTAAATAACAGTATTCGATTAAAAAAAATTTAAGTTTATTTTCAAAATACGTAACTGCTGTGAATTTTACAATATAATTTATAGATGTTTTAATTTGAAGTTAGCTACCAATCATTCCAAATTCTTTGTAATATTGACAGCTGAAGTGAAAAGTGTTGAGACTAGCCTTGAAGCTCAGACTGTTACTGTTGTTTCTACTTTGTCCTCTGATGTTTTGCTGGAGAGCTTGAAAAAAACTGGAAAAGAGTGCTCTTTTATTGGACTGGCATAGTAATAGTATCTTTCTTTTTTAACATGTAATAAAATAGACCAGGCTCAAAATGGTGGCTTATTCTGATCATCACATGTGTAATATGAATTAATCGTACCGGTATACAGAACATTTCCTTAATACATTACATACATCTGATCAAATTGAATACCTACAAAAGTGATAAATGTAAAAAAAAAATTTTTAAAAATTGTGTAATGGTTGCTGATAAGAAATTTTTAGCAACAATCATGCAAGGTATAGGCAGTTATTTATATTGTTGACTATATTATATCAAGTGACTCATTTTCAGTCAGGAATGTGTCTAAAAAGTGAAAGGTGCAAAAAGTGTATTAAACAACAAAATTCGTCGTCTTAAGCCAATGGGGTTAAATATTTTGAGCGGGTGTCACAATAAATTCACACTTTGGCCAGTAAGTAAAGAAAAACAACTTTACAAAAAAAATGTGAGTGAAATTTAATCTATAACTTTTCAGGTATCATTTCAGACATTATTTTTTTATAGATGTTATTATGTTTTAAAATGTTTAAAAGCATTTCAAGTATTTTTACTTCACATTAACTTTTTTAAGAAAAAACATATGTATGCTTTGAATAAATATCTCTGACAAGTTCATTTAATACGTCAATTCAATTAATGTCTGTATGTGTTTAAAGTTCGCTTTGCCCAAATCACATGCATATGTTACCTTTGTTAATGTTCTTACTAAGTTGAACTCAAGGTTGAGCCATAAAATGTTGAGAATAACTGAATTGTTGTGTGCAAGTTAGCTTAGCAATAAATCCACATGGAGCTAAGCATTCATTTATTATGTCTTAATTGTTAAATTTTTGTGATAATAATCAAACAACTACACATATTTTGAACTATAATCTTATATCTGAATGTTTTTTTTGTTTTTTTTTGTGGCTGTTGCTTTTAACAGTTTATTCATTCTGTGTTTTTAAATAATGTTATTGTTAGATGACTGATGTTTTTGTCATTTTAATGTCCAACAAAAAAAAAATCATTCCACTTGGAATTAATGAAAAATGTTTATTTAAGCGGATTGTTTACATTTAGAGATTCATAAGTAACTAGTCAGGTCTGATAACAGTCAAAATGCAACTGTTAACCTAATGAGATCAAATAAACTAACTTAAATATTTTTCAATCCTAATTTAATACTATAATGTTATTAGTGCTGTAACTTTAATTAAGTCCTCCTTTATGATATTAAAACATAGTCTTTAGAAATCAAAGTTTAATTAATATTCACCATTTAATTTTTTTTTTTTAGGTATTAGTTTACTTGAGATAGTCTTTCCTCTGATTATTTCACCCCATGCTTCACATATTTTTCTTTTTGTTTCAAATGATTTATATACAAACTAATTTGGAGTTCAGTTTTAAACTTAAACAGGTTATTTTTCTACAAAATGTGCTTTCCACTGACACTCACTCATAAAATTAACATATATGTTATATATGTAAGTCATAAATAACAAAGTTGCAGTGAGACTTTAAGTTTTTATTCAGGATTAAAGTTACAGGAAAGGGAAAAAAAGACATCAGAAAATAAAATTTCATTCCAACTTAGTAGTTCACATTTTTTTTATTCTGTATAGAATAAAGCACCAGCATTGCGGAGGTTGTGGAAACTTTACCTTTATTGGGTGGAGTTCTATAATACTTATATATTATATAGTTTGTCAGTCAAATCAACTATGACCAAATTAATCATTGTATATCCTTTCTTGGCTGTGGGAGCACAGTTAAAATAATACTTATTAAACTGCAGTCCCACTTTTTACTTTTGGAATATCCCAAAATTTAAAAAAAATTGTTCTTTACATCATAGTTTACTGTTAAAAGTAATCAATAAAATCAATTACTTCAACACAGGATCCCTGGCTCACAGCCAGCTATAACTGATCTGCTGACTGCTAACAGTCAGCTATAACTGATGTGCCACCAGCCAGCTATAACTGATCTGCTGACTGCTAACAGCCAGCTATAACTGATCTGCTAAATTACCATTTTTAACTACAGACCCATTTTATCAGCTGCACCACAAGTAAACACTTTTGAAAGCTAGACAATTATTAAGATAAAGTCACAACACACATCATTAAATAACATAAATGTCAACCTCCTGAGATAAATATATACTGGGAAAAAAGGAAAGATGTAATGGTACCATAAAAGGGGAGACACAACTTATTTTGTCACAGTTAAAGCATAGTTTTTTAAAATTATTTAATGCTTATTAATTAATTGCTAAAGAGAGCAAATGTTATTTTTTTCAATGGCATTTTTTCATAACACAAAAACTGCTCATACATTAAGATAAAATGAAAATGTCAGATATTTAAGTTTCCATTTGATCCATAGATAAGCCTTCACAGTTTTCATGTTCTCTGATAAAATCTCTGGATTGCCATTGACAAACTGAAAATTAAATAAACAAAATTATTCCTTTCCCACAAATATTGTTTTTTAATAACATAACCAACCCCATTTAAAAATCCATACTATTTTTAGGTGGTTTCCTTTGTCATAATGGACAATAGTTACACTTATAATGTATTGAGATGCTCTATATATATATATTTGAGATAGCTTTCAAGGGCTTTCCATAATTTAGAGAGCCTTGCATATGAAAAATGTCCACATATCTAATAAGAAATTGTAAGATAATCAATATCTGATAAATATTTTTTTAAGCAAAAATATACAACGATCTTCTTAGTTAAATGGCAATATTGAGAAAATTTAAAAAAAACAATAATTAAGATAAAGCCAGGACTATGCAGAGCCAAAGGCAACCGAGTAAATCACTGGGGGCCCAAAGTTGGCATTAAAACATTTGTTAGAATTATTTTGAAATAATTTTCCCAAAATTTGGATTTGCTCATGGCCCAAAAATCCTCTGCACAGACAATGACATGGCATGGCCCAAAAATCCTCTGCATAGCCCTGGACAGAGCACAAAAAAAGCCAATATTACTAGTAAAAAAAACATCCTTTTCTTGAAATCTCCAGGACATTAGAAATATGGGTGATGGTTCTCAACCAGGCAGGAAAAGGGAATAAGATTTTAATAGCATAATGAGCAAACTGGAAAAATTGTAATCCAGAAAAGATTATAGACAGAAATTATGTTTAAGTGCTTAGACCCTTGATTTTTCCAGACTGGTATTGTGCTAACTTAACTAAATGCTCTTGCAATTTTGACAATGGTTACACATTTAAAAAACCACAGATAAAGTAACTGACAGGGAAATGACACCATTTTATTTTTTTTGTTGGGTCTATTTTTAACTGAAAGGGTCAGGGGGTTAATGCCCTACATTTGGAACATCCAGAGGTTTGGACAGGGTCAACAAAGTTAAAATATTGCAGAGAGGATGGTTTTATCACCAAGTGACTGAGTTCTGCAACAGACAATCAAGAGATAGTTTTTTTATTATTGCATGGATTGACAAGCTATCACAAGAATAAATAAGGTTATGAGACTAAGCAAGGCACAAACATGGAAATAGTTTGTTCATTTAGCATGAAATTTGCAGTGGAAAAAATTAAGAAAAATTTGTCTCCCTAAAAAGATTTTAAATATTTTTAAATGTAATTCCAAATGCGTTTTTTATGGAGTAAACAATATTTATTTCATTTTATTTTAAAGTACAGTATCACATTCAAAGCTTAGGAATTATCAAGATTTGACTTGAAGGACAGATTAGCAAAGCTGAAATAGCAAGATTAACTATTATCAATGGCATAGAGAGGCGGGGGGGGGGGGGAGAGGAGAGGGGGGGGGGGGGGAGCAGAGAGGGAGGTTCCCCTGGGACAGAGATCGGGAACCTTTTCATGGCAAAGAGCCAAATAATAAATTTTGATCTAGTAATTAATAGTATCCTAGAGCTAAATGAGAAAGATCAAAGAGCCGCAGGTTCCCGACCCCTGCCCTGGGTGGTAATTTTTGTTAGTGAAAGGGGGTGGTAAAAATCGAGGCTCACCCTGGGCTGCATTAACCCTTGCAATGTCACTGACTTATTACACTTTGGAGAGAGTTAATCAGTGGCACCAAAGAGATATGTGTTGATGGTCGATTTAAGTTTGGCACAAAGAACACATTCTTGTCATGATTTTATCGTTACATGAAGACAAGTAAAAGTTTGTGTAGAATGTAAACAGCAAAATTAATCATCTAAGCTGTAAGTCCACACAAAATAATTAATCAATCATATTGTAAATTAATGCTGAATTAAACTAATTAACATTTTGATAAAAAACTACAAAATACGTGATGAATGAAAGCATTTGAACAAGGTCAAGGCCAGCACAGTTCAGAGAAGCACCGCCAGAGATAACACAATGAAAGGTCATTGACCTCAAGTTACTTTTAGTCCTGTCAACAGCTATCAGCTGGCGAATGGCATCTGAAAGGAGAGCCCTGTGGGCTGAAGAAGAATGCAGATAGTGGGATATCATCTACTCAAAGTGTGTTTCTTTCCAAGCTGAGAGCTAAGGGCCAGACAGACTTAGTTATATTTAAAACAAGAAAAAAATTGCATCAAAATCTAAGCATTGTAAAACAGTATTAAAAGTGGAGAATTATATTTTATTGCATCTTTCAGATACAAATTAATTATAAAGATTTTGTTGAAGAAAGGGTTAAATATAATAAAAATATAATGACATTTCACAATGAAATAACACATTAAATGGTAGGAAAGAATGTAATGCTAAAGGCTTAATGCTTTTTATTTGCCCTTATGCTTGAAGTGGTATAGGATCAAGTGGTATATGATGGGTGATCAAATTAATAGGTAAATTCATATTTTGCTTACAATGCACAACTTAAAAATATCCTTACACAAACTTCACTACACCTGTGACTATAAAAGAAGTGTTATTTATAGGAGAGAAACAGTAGTTATCATAAACTAAAGAACAAAAATAAATTGTATACATTATACAGCTATACACAATAATTACTAAACCATTTCCTTTTAAAAAAATAATATTTTAAAAAATAGTAGACTAAATTTAGGCCTAAAATAAGATGCTAGACTAATTTATGTAGAGAGAAAATGCTCATTGATTCTATTTTATTTTCAGTTACACTGGATTACTTCAGAAATAAGAGATCCAGCTACTGTGGGGGAAATACAAAGCAAAATGCCCTATAATTTATAATTGAATCATTCAGGGCAAATAATTACTGAGTCATTACCAACATAGATTACAATAAATACACCATAGTTGTGCTAAGATAGTTTTAAAAAAGATCAATTAATTAATGTTACATAGGTTATACAAGTATTTTAGTAGAACAAGTGAAAACAAACACGTCCAGACAGCGCCTTCTAACCACATCATGTCCAATAACTTTATAATCCTGCAGCTATTGCGCGGACCTAAGGACCTGTGAGCATGCAGCAAGACATGGGTAAAACATGAGCACGTGTCTACCTCGCATGTGGAGACTAGACCTGGTGGGCCATGTGGAGACTAGACCTGGTGGGCCATGTGGAGACTAGACCTGGTGGGCCACGCAAAAGAGAGTGAGACACACAAAAAAACACTGTTGGTCATTCATAAAGTCTAAGCATGACCTCTAGGTGTCCATGCATGTCAGGGCTATTATTACCTCTAGGTGTCCAGGCATGCCAGGGCTATTACCTCTAGGTGTCCATGCATGTCAGGGCTATTACCTCTTGGTGTCTGTGCTACCCTATTTCAATTTGCAACCCCCTTTGTTGACATCAATGGAGGAGGAAGAAGAAATCCAAACAGGACCCCCCCACCCAAAAAAAACAACATGCAAAAATAGGCAGGCCACCTGTGTACTCATCATTGAATATAGCCTTGGTCATCTTCTCCACATGCAAAGGACAAACAACAATGGTATAAGCTTTTTAAACACAAAAGGGAGGGGGGGGGGGCTAAATTTATACTTATATTACAGGTATTTTAAATTTTTGCAGCCAAGGGGACAGATAATTAGCCAGTGTTTAAAAACTATTGTTTAGGTTATTTTTTCCCCCCACAATTGTTAGTAATTAATTCATCTGAAGCCTCTGACTCACTCTGAGAAAAATTTCAAACATAAAAAGAGAAGCTGTTCAATATCCAGGACAGAAAATTATGAACAGCTTGTAACAACATGAGATATAAGTATCACTAATTACAACTGTGACATGGGAAGAAAAGAACAAAAAAAGTTTCCACAAGATGAGTGTTAAATGATTTATTTGCTTGGCCATGAAATATCTGTGTGCCATTTGACCCCTGAACTGTGTATAACAACAGATTTATCATTTATTAGTGATTAGTGTTTATGTTAGGTACAAACAGAAGACATGAATGGAGTGTTATATGTTTTAAGTGAGTTTTTAAATTTGCTGGGTGGCCGATCCAAAAACTGGTGGTCTGGAGTTCAATCCCCACCAAAGCCAAGACGAGCAATTACATCCCGAGCACCCCGTGTGGTTGGGACTCGTTAGCCTTGGACAGCAACTCACCTAAGAGAAGGCGAACTCTGAATTCAAACCAGGAGCCAGAATGATCAATAAATTTATCGTGGGCCCTCAAATATAGAAGAAAAAAAAGGATGCACGCTCCCAGAGATGTTGTGAAATGTTTATAAATATTTTAAAAATTCTGGGGGCGACAGCTTGTCTTCATCTTTAATAAAGAAGTGTTGTTTAAAAGGTTCAAGGTTAAAAAGAATTTTAACAATGCAGGTTTGAAGCCTCTATAAAATTATGTATGATATGCAACAGAAATAATTATATATATTTTAATTAAATTTTTTTAACAAACACAATATTTATATAGTAATTTTTTTTAAAGTTACATTTGCCGCTTTCAAATAATATAAACAATATACCGTACGGTAATCATCTTAAAAAAAAATGTTGATTAATTTTAATAAATACAAGTTTGAACTAAGAAGCTTCAAGGTACTTTTTCACAAATAAAACTGACATTGACATTTCAACAGATGATAAGTTAATACCAATAGTAATTACAAAAATAAAATTAACCATTTGTTCTTAAAGTGGTACAACACAATTCATTATTTGAAGCAAACTTGGATTATGGTTCTTTATTCTGTATGGTGAAATGGTCAAAAGCTTTACTTTTTTGGTCAGATGATATAACATGAAAGTAAAGTTCAACAGGAAATAATCACATCAATAGAGGATCACTATTTTTTAATAACCAAGAAAAAAAAACACCACACAATATTTTGGAAATAAATTGTTGGTAATTAATTGAAAGTATTTAAAATGATCTTGTCAGACGGAGAAATATTTTACAGACCAACAAGAAGAGATACTCACCAAAAACTCTTTAAAAATAGTTTTTGTTGTAGAATTTTAAAATAAAGTAGCTACATCTTTTTTTAATTGTAGAAATTTTTCAATAAGTTACAAAGC